GGAGCGTTCTTATTGATTATGAAGCGTTCTGAATGGTTCTAGACAGTTCTAAATGATTCTGAAGCGTTCTAAATGATTCTAGACGGTTCCAAATGATTCTGGAGCGTCCGAATGATTCTAGAGCGTTCTAAATTGTTCTAATAGAGAGTTCTAAACGTTTCTGAAGCGTTCTAAATTGTTCTGAAGCGTTCTGAATGGTTCTAGACAGTTCTAAAATGATTTTGGAGCTATCTAAACAACGATAGAAAAGAGATGAATATCGTAAAAAGCGCGAGAATCGGGATAAATAGAGCGGAAGAATGGAATTCGAAGCCTCTAAGATTCTACGTTTTGAACAACGAGAGCGTCAGTAAGAGGGACAAAATGGCCGAAAGGATGATTGAAGATGATGAAAATGTCGAGTAAAATGATGATTAATTCGGTTTTTTCATATAAAAATTATTGAACCGATTTCGAAAATTATTCTAGAGCTTTCTAAATGGTTTTAATAGATTCTGAAGCGTTCTAAAGTGACTATAGAGAGTTCTAAACGTTTCTGAAGCGTTCTAAATTGTTCTGAAGCGTTCTGAATGGTTCTAGACAGTTCTAAAATGATTCTGGAGCTATCTAAACAACGATAGAAAAGAGATGAAGATCGTAAAAAGCGCGAGAATTGGGATAAATAGAGAGGAAGAATGGAATTCGAAGCCTCTAAGATTCTACGTTTTGAACAACGAGAGCGTCAGCAAAAGGGACAAAATGGCCGAAAGGATGATTGAAGATGATGAAAATGTCAATAAAAATGATGATTAATTCGTTTTTTTTATAAAAAAAATTATTGAATCGATTTTGAAAATGATTCTAGAGCGTTCTAAACAGTTCTAATAGGTTCTAGAGCGTTCTAAATTGTTCTAATAGATTCTGAAGCGTTCTAAAGTGACTATAGAGAGTTCTAAACGTTTCTGAAGCGTTCTAAATGGTTCTGAAGCGTTCTGAATGGTTCTAGACAGTTCTAAAATGATTCTGAAGCTATCTAAACAACGATAGAAAAGAGATGAAGATCGTAAAAAGCGCGAGAATTGGGATAAATAGAGCGGAAGAATGGAATTCGAAGTCTCTAAGATTCTACGTTTTGAACAACGAGAGCGTCAGTAAGAGGGACAAAATGGCCGAAAGGATGATTGAAGATGATGAAAATGTCAATAAAAATAATGATTAATTCGTTTTTTTTATAAAAAAAAATTATTGAACCGATTTTGAAAATGATTCTAGAGCGTTCTAAACAGTTCTAATAGATTCTGGAGCGTTCTTATTGATTCTGAAGCGTTCTGAATGGTTCTAGACGGTTCCAAATGATTCTGGAGCGTTCTAAATTGTTCTAATAGATTCTGAAGCGTTCTAAAGTGACTATAGAGAGTTCTAAGCGTTTCTGAAGCGTTCTGAATGGTTCTAGACAGTTCTAAAATGATTCTGGAGCTATCTAAACAACGATAGAAAAGAGATGAAGATCGTAAAGAGCGCGAGAATTGGGATAAATAGAGCGGAAGAATGGAATTCGAAGCCTCTAAGATTCTACGTTTTGAACAACGAGAGCGTCAGTAAGAGGGACAAAATGGCCGAAATGATGATTGAAGATGATGAAAATGTCAATAAAAATAATGATTAATTCGTTTTTTTTTTATAAAAAAAATTATTGAATCGATTTTGAAAATGATTCTAGAGCGTTCTAAACAGTTCTAATAGATTCTGGAGCGTTCTTATTGATTATGAAGCGTTCTGAATGGTTCTAGACAGTTTTAAAATGATTCTGAAGATATCTAAACAACGATAGAAACGAGAAGAAGATCGTAAAGAGCGTGAGAATTGGGATAAATAGAATAAAAGGGACAAAATGGCCGAAAGGATGATCGAAGATGATGAAAATGTCGAGTAAAATGATGATTAATTCGTTTTTTTCATATAAAAATTATTGAACCGATTTCGAAAATTATTCTAGAGCGTTCTAAATGGTTTTAATAGATTCTGAAGCGTTCTAAAGTGACTATAGAGAGTTCTAAATGATTCGACTGGAGCTTTCTAAACGACTATGGAGAATTCTAAATGGTTCTGAAGCGTTCTGAATGGTTCTAGATAGTTCTAAATGATTCTGGAGCTTTCTAAAAGGTTCTGAAGCGTTCTAAATGCTTCAAAGACAGTTCTAAATGATTCAGTTCGAGAACATTTTACGTATTAAACAACGACAGCGTGAGCAAAAGGGACTCGTTGAAAAGATGCTCGAAGATAATAAATAATAAAAATACCAAGCAAATAATGATAATCAATTTATTTTCTTATAAAAATTTACTTTAGAATTTCATCCGTTAAATAAATACGAGCGGTGTGTTTTAACAAAATGGAACGAAAAAAAAAATAAAAAAAATAAAACGAATCGATTGTTACAAACAAGAAGAAGCCTCTCGAGCAACTACTTTTACACTCCTAATGGATTATTTTATACACTAAGAGCGCTTTCGCACGGTGCAATATATTGCATAAATATTGCATTGCAGTTAAATTACAAACGTAGTTTTCGAAAAAAAATGCAATATATTGCATAAATATTGCATTGCAGTTAAATTACAAACGTAGTTTTCGAAAAACTGCAATAAATTGTTGCAATATATTGCATAATTATTGCATTGTTGTCAAATTACAAACGTAGTTTCGAAAAAATGCGATAAATTGCATAAATATTGCATTGCAGTTAAATTACAAACGTAGTTTTCGAAAAAAAAAAATGCAATATATTGCATAAATATTGCATTACAGTTAAAATACAAACGTAGTTTTCGAAAAACTGCAATAAATTGTTGCAATATATTGCATAATTATTGCATTGTTGTCAAATTACAAACGTAGTTTCGAAAAAATGCAATATATTGCATAAATATTGCATTACAGTTAAAATACAAACGTAGTTTTCGAAAAACTGCAATAAATTGTTGCAATATATTGCATAATTATTGCATTGTAGTCAAATTACAAACGTAGTTTCGAAAAAATGCGATAAATTGCATAAATATTCCATTGCAGTTAAATTACAAGCGTAGTTTTCGAAAACCTGCAATAAAATGATGCAATAAATTCCTGCAATATATTGCACCGTCGCAAAACGCTCCAAAAGGCTGTGAGATGTAAAATATTTACAATGATTTTTTTTTTATTAGATATTCGTTCGTGTTGTATCTACAAGGAAAAAAATTTCGATCCAAGAATTGACCGAATTTCACAATTCAAAAACGTTAAAATAATTTTTTAATCCTAAGACATACAAATTTTTAATTTGGAACGAAGAATCGCAAATTATTTTTACACATCGTCGAGGACGATTTTCCTTCGAAACGTACGAGGGCGGATCGAAATGTTCGAAGAAAAAATGCTGGAGAATAAAAAAAAACCGCCCTCTGCGATCTTACGCGATTTTATAAAAAAAAAAAAAAGCAACGTGTGTTTACAAAACAAATACGCATCATAACAAGTTATATAACTTCAACAGTATATTTTTATGTATTCAACAGCGCCTGAAAAAAAAAAAATTAAATCTTTGAAATCTCAATAAAATTCGATAGCCCATTGTGAAACGCAAACAACAAAAGTTTAGTTAGAAGTTAGAATGAAAATAGTTTTTAGTTTAAAAAAAAAATTGGAAAAACAAAAACCGAACCACTTTCTCGCATTGAACTGGGCGAATACGAGGGTAGGATGAAAAGTTCTCGGCCTGAATCATCTCTAGAACTGCCTAGAACGATCCAGAATCATTTAGAACTGTCTAGGACAATCTAAAAGGCTCCAGATTCGCTTAGAACTGTTTAAAACCATTTAGAACGGTTTAGAATCATTTTGAACTGTCTAGAACCATTTAAAAGGCTCCAGATTCACTTAGAACCGATTCAGGATGTTCTAGAATCACTTAGAACCGTCTAGTACCATTTGGAAGTGTCTAGAATCGTTTAGAACGTTTCAAAATTATCTAGAACTGTCTAAGACTATTTAGTCACGCTCCAGAATAATTAAGAACTGTCTAGAACCATTTAGGATGCTCCTGAATCGTTTAGAACTGTCCGGAACAATTCAGAACGCCCCGGAATCGATTAGAACCGTCCCGAACTAAATAATTCGACTTAATAAGAAGAACAAAGTAATTTTTTCAAACTAAAAAACGTCGGGAGAAACGAGAACTATTCACCTTACCCTCGTAAAATCCCACACACCCCTCCCTCCCCAAGACCGATTCTTACTGTATAAATTTTATTTTATTAATAGCAACAACAAACGTTATTAGTTCAAAAAAAAAAAAAAATAATATTAATAATAATAATAATAAAAAATAAAAGAGAAAAACAAACTCAATCAGTCAATATACAGAGTAATCATCTCGGGCTACAATATCGACGCCCGTTCGTATCGCCGCGCTACTACGAGATAACTCGTAGTCGATTAACTTTCCGTTCCAGGACGCCGCACTACGAGTTATCTCGTAGTCGACTCGCATTCTGGCCAGAAACGCCGCACTACGAGTTATCTCGTAGTCGAGTAACGTTCTGTCGCGGGACCCCGCACTACGAGATAACTCGTAGTCGATTAACTTTCCGTTCCAGGACGCCGCGCTACGAGATAACTCGTAGTTAACTCGCGTTCTGGTCCAGGACGCCGCACTACGAGTTATCTCGTAGTCGAGTAACGTTCTGTCGCGGGACGCAGCGCTACGAGATAACTCGTAGTTAACTCGTGTTCTGGTCCAGGACGCCGCACTACGAGTTATCTCGTAGTCGAGTAACGTTCTGTCCCGGGACGCTGCGCTACGAGATAACTCGTAGTCGATTTCTCGCCCGATACGCCGCACTACGAGATAACTCGTAGTCAACTCGCGATCCAGTCCGGGAAGCCACACTACGAGTTATCTCGTAGTCGAGTAACGTTCTGGCTCGGGACGCAGCGCTACGAGATAACTCGTAGTTAACTCGTGTTCTGGTCCGGGACCCCGCACTACGAGATAACTCGTAGTCAAGCAACTTTCTGTCCCAGGACGCCGCACTACGAGTTATCTCGTAGTCGAGTAACGTTCTGTCCCGCGACGCTGCGCTACGAGATAACTCGTAGTCGATTTCTCGCCCGATACGCCGCACTACGAGATAACTCGTAGTCAACTCGCGATCCAGTCCGGGAAGCCACACTACGAGTTATCTCGTAGTCGAGTAACGTTCTGGCTCGGGACGCAGCGCTACGAGATAACTCGTAGTTAACTCGTGTTCTGGTCCGGGACCCCGCACTACGAGATAACTCGTAGTCAAGCAACTTTCTGTCCCAGGACGCCGCACTACGAGTTATCTCGTAGTCGAGTAACGTTCTGTCCCGCGACGCTGCGCTACGAGATAACTCGTAGTCGATTTCTCGCCCGATACGCCGCACTACGAGATAACTCGTAGTCAACTCGCGATCCAGTCCGGGAAGCCACACTACGAGTTATCTCGTAGTCGAGTAACGTTCTCGTTCGGAACGCAACACTACGAGTTAACTCGTAGTCAACTCGCGATCCAGTCCAGGACGCCGCGCTACGAGTTATCTCGTAGTCAACACAACGACGATTCGACGGGTTAGAAAACCAAAAAAAAAAAAAAGAAAAACTAAAAAAAAAAATTAATAATTCTAAAAGTACACCAAAGCAACTAATTCGTTTCTTCTCGTCACATCGTATATATACACTCAAACAAAAAATGAAAAAACGCGCCATTTAAAAAAAAAAAAAATAAAAAACAAACAAATCCCGCATCATCATCACATCAATCAACATCATCATCATCATCATCATCACTTCAAACACCTATCGAAGTAAACGCCGCCAACGTACCCGCCTCTCATGGCCTTCTGGACGTTCTGTTCGAACAATCTCCGATTGTTCGTCAACACTTCTGCCGCCTCTTTGTTCAACGGATCCTCCGGATTGGGTTCGAGGAACAAATACTGCAAACCGTAGACGATGCTGTTGATGGTCAGGACGGGTTTCCAGTCCTCTCGAAGAATGTTCAAACAGACGTTGCCCTGTTGATCGATGTTCGGATGGTAGACTTGCGTTTCGCATTTCACTTTCGGTGGTTCGTGCGGATAGTTCGGACCGACTTTGAAGCTGAACACGAACCGGCCGGTTTTGTAGAAACCCTATAAAGTAGATAACAAATGGTTAATTTTTTAGACTGGTTTTGTAGAAACCCTGTTGGGTAGATATCAAATGGTTAATTTTTTAGACTGGTTTTGTAGAAACCCTACGAAGTAGATAACAAGCGGTTAATTTTTTAGACTGGTTTTGTAGAAACCCTGTTGGGTAGATATCAAATGGTTAATTTTTTAGACTGGTTTTGTAAAAAACCCTATCAAGTTGATAACAAGTGGTTAATTTTTTAGACTGGTTTTGTAGAAACCCTGTTGGGTAGATATCAAATGGTTAATTTTTTAGACTGGTTTTGTAAAAAACCCTGTTGGGTAGATATCAAATGGTTAATTTTTTAGACTGGTTTTGTAAAAAACCCTATCAAGTTGATAACAAGTGGTTAATTTTTTAGACTGGTTTTGTAGAAACCCTGTTGGGTAGATATCAAATGGTTAATTTTTTAGACTGGTTTTGTAAAAAACCCTGTTGGGTAGATATCAAATGGTTAATTTTTTAGACTGGTTTTGTAAAAAACCCTATCAAGTTGATAACAAGTGGTTAATTTTTTAGACTGGTTTTGTAGAAACCCTGTTGGGTAGATATCAAATGGTTAATTTTTTAGACTGGTTTTGTAAAAAACCCTGTTGGGTAGATATCAAATGGTTAATTTTTTAGACTGGTTTTGTAAAAAACCCTATCAAGTTGATAACAAGTGGTTAATTTTTTAGACTGGTTTTGTAGAAACCCTGTTGGGTAGATATCAAATGGTTAATTTTTTAGACTGGTTTTGTAAAAAACCCTATCAAGTTGATAACAAGTGGTTAATTTTTTAGACTGGTTTTGTAGAAACCCTGTTGGGTAGATATCAAATGGTTAACTTTTTAGACTGGTTTTGTAGAAACCCTGTTGGGTAGATATCAAATGGTTAATTTTTTAGACTGGTTTTGTAGAAACCCTGTTGGGTAGATATCAAATGGTTAATTTTTTAGACTGGTTTTGTAGAAACCCTGTTGGGTAGATAACAAATGGTTAATTTTTTAGACTGGTTTTGTAGAAACCCTGTTGGGTAGATATCAAATGGTTAATTTTTTAGACTGGTTTTGTAGAAACCCTGTTGGGTAGATATCAAATGGTTAACTTTTTAGACTGGTTTTGTAGAAACCCTGTTGGGTAGATATCAAATGGTTAATTTTTTAGACTGGTTGTGTAGAAACCCTGTTGGGTAGATATCAAATGGTTAATTTTTTAGACTGGTTTTGTAGAAACCCTGTTGGGTAGATATCAAATGGTTAATTTTTTAGACTGGTTGTGTAGAAACCCTGTTGGGTAGATATCAAATGGTTAATTTTTTAGACTGGTTGTGTAGAAACCCTGTTGGGTAGATATCAAATGGTTAATTTTTTAGACTGGTTTTGTAGAAACCCTGTTGGGTAGATATCAAATGGTTAATTTTTTAGACTGGTTTTGTAGAAACCCTGTTGGGTAGATATCAAATGGTTAATTTTTTAGACTGGTTTTGTAGAAACCCTATCAAGTTGAAAAACAAGCGGTTAATTTTTTGGACTGGTTTTGTAGAAACCCTATAAAGTAGATAACAAGCGGTTAATTTTTTAGACCGGTTTTGTCATAGACCTATTAAGTATGGACGCGGTTTAGACAAAGAGGTAGTGTTGTCGATGAATGAGAGAGATGCAGCTAGTTTGGGCATATGACAATGAGAGATTGGACAATGCATTAGCCAATAGTAAGAAAGCAAAAGACCACGTGAGTTACGTTTTCAGTAATGCAAGGTAGCTGGGGTAGAGGAGGGTAGCTTATGGTAGAATAGGGTTGAGGATTTATTTTTTTTACCGAGGAAAATGCATTTTTCAGCTGAGCCTAAATTCCCACGCATTTGCAAATACAGTTCTTATTTTGTATTGTTAACTGGAACCTCCTAGCTATTAACCAGTACAAATTTCGCAATTTAAGACCTAGCTGCTTTCTCTTGTAAAAAATATGTTTCTTCCATGTCATTCTTCTGTACAAGTGGATAACAAGATAAAAACAATATTTAAATATTAAGCGTATAAATAATTTAACAGATTAATTGGCTTTTTCCACACACCAAATAAAATATATACAGGGTGCATAAAAAAAGGCTATTAATCTGTTAAATTATTTATACGCTTAATATTTAAATATTGTTTTTATCTTGGTATCCACTTGTACAGAAGAATGACCAGGAAGAAACATATTTTTTACAAGAGAAAGCAGTTAGATATTAAATTGCGAAATCTGTACTGGCTAATAGGTAGGATGTTCCAAATAACAATACAAAATAAGAACTGTATTTGCAAATGCGTGGGAATTTAGGCTCAGCTGAAAAATGCATTTTCCTCGGTAAAAAAAATAATAAATCCTCAACCCTATTCAACCATAAGCTACCCTCCTCTACCCCAGCTACCTTGCATATCTGAAAACGTAACTCACGTGGTCTTTTGCTTTCTTACTATTGGCTAATGCATTGTCCAATCTCTCATTGTCATATGCCCAAACTAGCTGCATCTCTCTCATTCATCGACAACACTACCTCTTTGTCTAAACCGCGTCCATAGTTAATAGGTCTATGGGTTTTGTAGAAACCCTATCAAGTTGATAACAAGTGGTTAATTTATTGGACCGGTTTTGTAGCCTAAACTGACATAAACTGACTTGACATTTGTATGACAACTTGAAATCGTTGACAGTGATGCCAACGTTAAAACACAACACACTATCAAGTTGATAAGTGGTTGAACAAGTGGTTAATTTTTTAGACTGGTTTTGTAGAAACCCTGTCAAGTTGATAACAAGCGGTTAATTTTTTAGACTGGTTTTGTAGAAACCCTACCGAGTGGATAACAAGCGGTTAATTTTTTATCGTACGATGGAAATTGACAAGAGGGGGGGATGTAGGGTTTAAACAGCGTTTAGGGGATGTAATGTACGAGGGTTAAAGGTTGGAAAGTTCTCTTCTCGGCTTGGATCGTTTTAGAACAGGCCAGGACGTTTCGGGATCGTTTATAACTGGCTGGTAGCGTTTATAGAACGATCCAGAATGATTTAGGACTGTCCAGGATCGTTTAGAACTATTTTATAACCGATTGGGAGCATCAAAAACAGTTCAAAACGATGCTAGAATCATTTAGAATAGGTTCAAGACTATTTGGAACGATCCAAGATAAACTAGAACTGTCCAGGATCATTTAGAAACTGCTCCACAAAAAGTTAAGAAAGTTTCGCATATTTTGCGATTATTTTCAAAGTTACAGACTTTTTGATCCCCAAATTTTCAAATATGCGAAATTTAATGTTTTCTCTTATATCTGAGTGGCTTTTTTTACCCTTCATCTACAACTCATACTAAATTTGGCGATCAAAAAACCTGTAACTTTTAAATTAATCTCAATATTTGTGAACTTCCTTAACTTTTGTGGAGCAGTATATTTTAGAACCGATTAGGAGCATCAAAAACAGTTCAAAACGATACTAGATTCATTTAAAACAGGTTCAAGACTATTTGAAACGGTCCAAGATAAACTAGAACTATCCAGGATCATTTAGAACCATTTTAAATCCGATTAGGAGAATCAAAAATAGTTCAAAACGATGCTAGAGTCATTTAGAACAGGTTCAACACTATTTGGAACGGTCCAAGATAAACTAGAATTGTTCAGGATCATTTAGAACCATTTTAGAACCGATTAAGAGCATCAAAAACAGTTCAAAACGATGTTAGGAATCATTTAGAACAGATTCAAGACTATTTGGAACGGTCCAAGATAAACAAGAACCGTTCAGGATCATTTAGAACCGATTAGGAGCTCAAAAAACAGTTCAAAACGATACTAGATTCATTTAGAACAGGTTCAAGACTATTTGGAACGATCCAAGATAAACTAGAACTGTTCAGGATCGTTTAGAACCGACTAGGAGAATCAAAAACATTTAAAAACGATTTAGGACAATATTTAGAACATCATTTAAAACAGATTTAAACTATTTGGAACAGTTCAAGATAAACTGGAACTGTTCAGGATTGTTTAGAACAATTTTAGAACCGATTAGGAGCATCAAAAACAGTTTAAAAGGATGCTAGAATCATTTAGAACAAATTCAAGATTATTTGGAACGGTCCAAGATAAACTAGAACTGTTCAGGATCATTTAGAACCGACCAGGAGAATCAAAAACATTTAAAAACGATTTAGGACAATATTTAGAACAGATTTAAACTGACCAAGATCATCTAAAATAGTTCAAAACGATGCTAGAACCATTCAGAACACTCCAGAATCATTTCTAACGCTCCATAGTTATTTAGAACGCTCCAGTATCAATTAGAACTGTCTAGAGAACGCCCCCGGAATCATTTCGAACTGTCTCGAACCAAATATTTCGACTTACTACAAAGAATAATGTAATTATTCAATCGAAAATCGCTATCTATCGTCGTCAGATCGAGAGAACTTTCCACCTTACCCTCGTAAATTACATTTAGTTAGAGCATTGTTCTAATGCCACAAACACAATGAAATATTTTACCTCGTCTGGACAAATGACCAGTTTGAACGTTAACAGATCGTCGGGATCGGGAAATTCCGTGGCGCACGTTTTGGGTAGATTCAATTCGTTTATATCTAAAAAAAAAAGAAAAATGAGGGAACGATAGAATTTAGAAATTCGTTGGAAATGATGCGGAAAAACTCGAACCTTTTGTGATCCTCAATTGTGCAGCTGACGCTTTCTTTTGATTGCCCTGTCGCGGTGTCGATTCGCCATCTTTCTTTTGTTGTTTCAGCGAAAATAATTTTATCATATTTGTGTTAGACGGTTTTCGTTCACTCCAGTTTTTCAAATTAACATTAGAAACTTACTAATTTTTTTTAACGTGTTTATTATGCAAAATATTATCCTTCGACGGACTTTTTGACGCCTGTCATCTGTCAAACCGTCATTTTCTACGGTGCTGCTTTGGGACAAAGGTCGGTCGCTTTTCGTACTAAAATGACAGTTAATTCGCAAATAATTAATCAAATGTAATCTTCTTATTAAATGAGAAACTAAATAATTCCACGGAAACAATGCTAACTAAAAAATGTACATACCATATTTAAATGTTGGCTATTTTTGTTATTGACCAATCACGTCTGGATTGGTGGACATCCGTGTCAAAATACTCCCTTCCGATTGGTCGAAAACGAAGAGGCTAGGCATTTTTTCGCGTACATTACCAAAGTATTTCGTCCCGTACGCGAATAATTCCACTTTGTATCGCATTTAAACGATATTTTCGATAAATCCAGCTCCTTTCTAAACAAAAAAAACCCGGATAAATAATTTCGATATCGATCGAGTACGTCAAAGGCGGCCTTCACCTGTCACTTACGTCACTTGTACTCCTGTCAAATTTCGAGTTCCGTCGTGCATCGTGCGCGAGTTACCGGAGCATCGAGGAAGAAATAATAAAAATTATTTTGTCGTATTCGTTTTAGGCGTGAAAAAAAACCCCGAAAAAGGCGGACGAGCGACAAGCCGACAAAATGGAAACTAGAAAACTAATAGATTTACTTCGGGCCACTATCGAGCCCAACCAACGACAGCAAGCCGAAGTTCAATTAGATCAGGTAAATCGAAAAACCATGCGGTCTCGTATTTGCCATTACAATTCGAAATATTCGATTGATTACTCGTCATTTACCATTAAATGTACCATTAAACGTACCATTTAATCGCATATTATGCATTATATCCATTTTAATCTATTAATGAGACGTCGAGACATGGAAAGAGAAGTTACTTTCATATGTTACCACATTGTTAATATTACATTGAAAATTAATTGATAAAAAAATGTATAGGAATAACATTTATACCAGATAATGAATTGTAAGTATGCGAGTAGCTTCAAAAATTACCACTAATTTCGATACGAGGGTTAGGTGAAAAGTTCTCGGCTAGACAACTTCTGGACCGTTCTAAATGATTCCGGAGCGATCTAGACAGTTTTAAATGATACTGGAGCGTTCTAAATGGTTCTGGAGCGCTCTAAATAGTTCTAAACCATCCCGGAGCGTTCTAGATCATTTCTAGATAGTCCTAAATGATTCAGAATTCAGAAAGTTCGAGAACTTTCCACCCTTCTCGCCCTCGTACAAATTAATTAATCGATTAATTAATGTTCTAGACCGCTCTAAAAGATACTAAAGCGTTCTAAACGATTTTAAAACGTTTTAAGTGATTCCTGGAGCGTTTTTAAATGATACAGAAGCGTTCTAAAAGATTCTGGAGCGCTCTAAACAGTTCTAATTGCTTCTGGAGCGTTCTAAGTGATATTGGACCATATTATATGATTCTGGAGCATTCTGAATGATTCTAGAGCGCTCTAAACAGTTATAATTGCTTCCGAACAATTCTAGACAGTCCTAAAATCCTTCCGGAACGTTCCACATCGTCCACATTCCAAACGATACGCGATAATTTATCAACGTTTTAATTTTCCAAATTTTCGCATATCCACAAAATTATCGGTTTCGCCTCTTTTTAAACAGTTGTAATTGATTCTGGAACATTCTGAATGATTCTGAAGCATTCTAAATGATTCGGGAGCGTTCTGAATAATTCTGAACGTTCCTAAATGATTGTAGAGCGCTCTAAACAGTTCAAATTGCTCCCGGATCGTTCCGAAAGATTCTAGACAGTCCTACAATCCTCATTCTACATCCACAAAATCATCGGTTTCGCCCCGTTCTAAACAGTTCCAATTGATTCTGGAGCGTTCTGAATGATTCAGAAGCATTCTAAATAGTACAGAAGCGTTCTAAATGGTTCTGGAGCGTTCTAAATGATTCTGAAGCATTCTCAATGATACAGAAGCGTTCTAAACGATTCTGGAGCGTTCTAAATGATTCTGGAGCGTTCTAAATGATTCTGGAGCATTCTAAATAGTACAGAAGCGTTCTAAATGGTTCTGGAGGGTTCTAAATGATTCTGAAGCTTTCTGAATAATTCTGGAGTATTCTAAATGATACAGAAGCGTTCTAAATGATTCTGGAGCATTCTGAATGATTCTGAAGCTTTCTAAATGATTCTGGAGCATTCCAAATGATACAGAAGCGTTCTAAATGATTCTGGAGCGTTCTAAATGATTCTGAAGCATTCTGAATGATTCTGAAGCTTTCTAAATGATTCTGGAGCATTCCAAATGATACAGAAGCGTTCTAAACGATTCTGGAGCGTTCTAAATGATTCTGAAGCTTTCTGAATGATTCTGAAGCTTTCTGAATGATTCTGGAGCATTCCAAATGATATAGAAGCGTTTTTAATGATTCTGGAGCGTTCTAAATGATTCTGAAGCATTCTGAATGATTCTGAAGCTTTCTGAATGATTCTGGAGCATTCCAAATGATACAGAAGCGTTTTAAATGATTCTGGAGCGTTCTAAATGATTCTGGAGCATTCTGAATGATTCTGAAGCTTTCTGAATGATTCTGGACCATTCCAAATGATTCTGAAGCTCTCCAAACAGTCCTAATTGCTTCCGGATCGTTCCGAACGATTCTAGACAATCCTCATTCCCCATCAAACGACGATTTAATTTATCCGAATTCATCCGCAGATCCACAAAATCATCGGTTTCGCCACGTTCTAAACAGTTCTAATTGATTCTGAAGCATTCTGAATGATTCTGGAGCGTTCTAAATGATACAGAAGCTTTCTGAATGATTCTGAAGCATTCCAAATGATACAGAAGCTCTCTAAACAGTCCTAATTGCTCCCGGATCGTTCCGAACGATTCTAGACACTTTCGAAATCCTCATTCCCCATCAAACGACGATTTTAATTTATCCGAATTTTTTTTTTAATTTTTCGCAGATCCACAAAATCATCGGTTTCGCCCCGTCGCTCCTGCAAATCGTCATGACGTCCGACTGTGATATGCCCGTCCGTCAAGCGGGCGCCATCTATCTCAAGAATTTGGTATCGTCGAATTGGCAGGACAAGGAGCCGGAGACGCCCGGTCAGCCGGTGCCGTTTTCGTTGCACGAACAAGACAGATCGTTGATTAGAGATAGCATCGTCGATGCCGTCGTACTGGCGCCGGAATTGATCCGGACGCAATTGTGCACGTGCGTCAATCACATCATCAGGCACGATTTTCCCGGCCGTTGGACGCAGATTGTCGATAAAGTGAGGTTATGTTGCTGTTGCGTTGTTGCCATATACCTATAACTACTATACCGCTTATAATGGTCTAAAACCCGTAGCAAACATTATACTGTGGTGTGCCTGCTTATTTATGCGCATGCTCAAGTGATAGATGCGTTTTGATTGGCTACTTTTGACACAGCAAATGAAACGTCAGAAACGTGCTAGCTTTTATTTTGGTATATTTGATATATTTTTAAAATCGACTTCGACTTGCCTGTATAAATATGTCAGGTTACCGAATTTAAACACGATTTCAAGTATTATTTTCCATCTTTTCTTTTTAGGCCTCAGCTACTCGCTATTGGTCCTTTTAAATACCTATTAGTAATATACTGCTAACTCCCTATCTATTCCATGAGAGAAAATCGTAGCGATTAAAGAGAGAGAGATATCCGACCCACTGTGGTGTGCTTAGTCGTTTATACGCAAGCGCGTTAATTTTAAAAGGACCAATGGCGAGTAGCTGAGGCCTAAAAAGAAAAGATGGAAAATAATACTTGAAATCGTGTTTAAATTCGGTAACCTGACATATTTACACAGGCAAGTCGAAGTCGATTTTAAAAATATATCAAAAAATATACCGAAATAAAAGCTAGCACGTTTCTGACGTTTCATTTGCTGTGTCAAAAGTAGCCAATCAAAACGCATCTATCACTTGAGCATGCGCATAAATAAGCAAGCACACCACAGTATAATGTTTGTTACGGGTTTTAGACCATTGTTAGCGGTATAGTAGTAATAGGCATATGGTTGTTGTTGTTGTTGTTTGGTTGTAGATTTTAGTGAAAAGACTCTTTTAAACGCTTTATTTTGCTTGCTGGTCGATGTAGCGGTAGAGTAAAAGGCCCTCTGAACGATGTAGCTTTATGTAAAAGGCCCTCTAGTGCTCTATTTGTCTTCCTATAAGCTATAACGCTCGATTTATACCTTCCTATTCGATGTAGCTTTCGAGTAAAAGGCCCCCTAAACGCTTCGTTTGGCTTGCTAGTCGATATAGCAGTAGAGTAAAAGGCCCTCTGAACGATGTAGCTTGATGTAGCAAGGCCCTCTAGTGCTCTATTTGTCTTCCTATAAGCTATAACGCTCGATTTATACCTTCCTATTAGATGTAGCTTTCGAGTAAAAGGCCCCCTAAACGCTTCGTTTGGCTTGCTAGTCGATATAGCAGTAGAGTAAAAGGCCCTCTGAACGATGTAGCTTTATGTAAAAGGCCCTCTAGTGCTCTATTTGTCTTCCTATAAGCTATAACGCTCGATTTATACCTTCCTATTAGATGTAGCATTCGAGTAAAAGGCCCCCTAAACGCTTCGTTTGGCTTGCTAGTCGATATAGCAGTAGAGTAAAAGGCCCTCTGAACGATGTAGCTTTATGTAAAAGGCCCTCTAGTGCTCTATTTGTCTTCCTATAAGCTATAACGCTCGATTTATACCTTCCTATTAGATGTAGCTTTCGAGTAAAAGGCCCCCTAAACGCTTCGTTTGGCTTGCTAGTCGATATAGCAGTAGAGTAAAAGGCCCTCTGAACGATGTAGCTTTATGTAAAAGGCCCTCTAGTGCTCTATTTGTCTTCCTATAAGCTATAACGCTCGATTTATACCTTCCTATTAGATGTAGCTTTCGAGTAAAAGGCCCCCTAAACGCTTCGTTTGGCTTGCTAGTGGATATAGCAGTAGAGTAAAAGGCCCTCTGAACGATGTAGCTTTATGTAAAAGGCCCGCTAGTGCTCTATTTGTCTTCCTATAAGCTATAACGCTCGATTTATACCTTCCTATTAGATGTAGCTTTCGAGTAAAAGGCCCCCTAAACGCTTCGTTTGGCTTGCTATTCGATGTAGCAATAGAGTAAAAGGACCTCTAACGCTCTATTTATATTTATACTTAATGTAGCTTTAAGTAGAAAGCTCCCTAATGCTCTATTTATATTCCTAGAGGCCTTATTGTCGCTCTATTGTCTTCCTATTAGATGTAGCTTTCAAGTAAAAGGCCATCTAACGCTAGATGTAGCAGTTGAGTAAAAGGCCCTCTACCGCTCTATTTATCTTTCTATAAGCTCTAACGCTCTGTTAATCTTCCTATTCGATATTTTTTTTAATATATTCCTGTATTAATTAATTTATTTGTTATTGTTCCTTTCGAGTAAAAGGCCCCCCGATGCTCTATTTATCTTCTTATAAGCTCTAACGCTCTATTTATCTTTATATTCAATGTAGCTTTAAGTAGAAGGCCCCCTAATGCTCTATTTATATCCCTAGAAGCCTTAACGCTCTATTGTCTTCCTATTAGATGTAGCTTTCAAGTAAAAGGCCCTCTAACGCTTTATTTTTCTTTATATTCGATGTAGCTTATAAATAAAAGGTATCCTAACGCTCTATTTATATATTCCTATTCGTTGTAGCTTTAAGTAAAAGGCCCCCTAAACGCTTCGTTTGGCTTGCTGGTCGATGTAGCAGTAGAGTAAAAGGACCTCTAATCCTCTATTAAACTTCCTTTAAGCTCTAACGCTCTATTTATACCTCCTATTCGATGTAGCTTTCGAGTAAAAGGACCCCTACCCCTCTATGCTTCTTCCTATAAGCTCTAACGCTCTATTTACATCTTCTTGTGAGCTCTAACGCACTATTTACATCTTCCTACAAGCTCTAATGCTATATTTACACCTTCCTGTAAGCTCTAACGCTCTATTTACATCTTACGAGCGCTAACGCTCTATTTATAACTTGTGAGCTCTAACGCTCTATTTACATCTTCCTACAAACTCTAACGCTCCATTTACATCTTCTTACGAGCTCTAACGCTCTATTTACATCTTCCTACAAGTTCTAACGCTCTATTTACGTCTTCTTACGAGCTCTAACGCACTATTTACATCTTCCTACAAGCTCTAATGCTCTATTTACATCTTTTTACGAACTCCAACGCTCTATTTACATATTCCTACAAGCTCTAATGCTCTATTTACATCTTTTTACGAACTCCAACGCTCTATTTACATATTCCTACAAGCTCTAATGGTCTATTTACATCTTTTTACGAACTCCAACGCTCTATTTACATCTTCCTGCAAGCTCTAATGTTCTATTTACATCTTCCTACGAGCTCTAACGCTCTATTTACATCTTTTTGCGAGCTCTAACGATCTATTTACATCTTCCTACAAGCTCTAACGCTCTATTTACGTCTTTTTACGAACTCCAACGCTCTATTTACATATTCCTACAAGCTCTAACGCTCTATTTACATCTTTTTACGAACTCCAACGCTCTATTTACATATTCCTACAAGCTCTAATGCGCTATTTACATATTCCTACAAGCTCTAACGCACCACTTACATCTTCCTACAAGCTCTAATGCTCTATTTACATATTCCTACGAGCTCTAACGCACTATTTACATCTTCCTACAAGCTCTAACGCACTATTTGCATCCTCTTCAAAGCTCTAACGCTCCATTTACGTCTTCCTACAAGATCTAACGCACTATTTACATCTCCCTACAAGCTCTAACGCTCTATTTACCCCGTAGATCAGCGTGTACCTGTCGAACCCGGATCCGAACGGCTGGCACGGCGCCTTCCTCTGTCTCTACCAGCTGGTGAAGAACTTCGAATACAAAAAGGCCGAAGAGCGCGGTCCCCTGCACGAGGCTATGAACCTGCTCCTGCCTCAATTGTACCAATTGGAGGTGAGGCTGTTGCCCGACGCATCGGAGCAATCGGTTCTGTTGCAAAAAGAAGGGCTCAAAGTCTATTTCGCGCTGACCCAATACATTTTGCCGTTGGATTTGATCAGCAGAGACGCCTTCGCTCAATGGATGGAAGTTTGTAGACAGGTCGGTGTGATTTTTTTTTTTTTTTTTTTTTTTTTTTTTTTTTTTTTTTTTTTTTTTTTTTTTTTTTTTTTTTTTTTTTGCATCGTGGTGTGCCGTGGTTTTTGTTTTACGAGGGTAGGGCGAGAATGGCCGTTAAGTCGAACATTTTTGGTTCGGGACGGTTCTAAAACGATTCCTTGGGCGTTCCTAGATTGTTCCGGACGGTTTTGAATCATTTTGGAGCGTTCTAAATGGTTCTGGACAGTGCTGAATGCTTCTGAAGCTTTCTAAATGGTTCTAGACAGTTCTAAGTGAATCTGGAGCGTTCTAAATTGTTTTCGACAGTTCTGAGTGATTTGGAGCGTTTTAAACGATTCTAGATAGTTGTAAACGATTCTGAATCGGTCTAAATGGTTCTAGACAGTTATAAATGGATTCAGCAGCAGTCCAAATGGTTCTATGGACAGTTCTAAACGTTTCTGAAGCGTTCTAAATGGTTCTGAAGCTTTCTTAATGATTCTAGATAGTTCTAAGTGATTTTGGAGCGTTCTAAAAGGATCTGGATAGTTCCAAATGGATCCTGGATATGTCTAAATGGTCCTAGACAGTTCTAAACGTTTCTGAAGCGTTCTAAATGGTTCTGAAGCTTTCTAAATGATTCTAGATAGTTCTAAGTGATTTTGGAGCGTTCTAAAAGGATCTAGATAGTTCCAAATGGATCCTGGAGATGTCTAAATGGTCCTAGACAGTTCTAAACGTTTCTGAAGCGTTCTAAATGGTTCTGAAGCGTTCTAAATGGTTCTTAATGGTTCTAGAGGGTTTTTAATGATTCTAGATAGTTCTAAATGATTCTGGAGCGTTCTAGGTTATTCGAGATAATTCTAAATGGATTCTGGAGAAGTCTAAATGGGCCTAAATAGTTTTAAACGTTTTTGAAGCGTTCTTAATGATTCTAGACTCTAGATGATTCTGAAGCGTTCTAGACCGTTCTAAACAGTTCTAAACGATTCAGGTCGAGAAACTTGTCACCATACCCTCGTATTTTAGGATAGTTTAATTAAATGATTATAATATTAAAGATCGTAGATAGTTAGATAGGGCAGTACCGCCTGGCCTTCTTTTATGTACAAGGCCAGGACATTTAGGTTTTTCTCAGGTTTCCCTATTTGCTCTTTTCCAAAATGGATTTTGGAATATAAATTTTGAAATTTAAAATTCCTACCTAAAATTTAAAATTTGACATTTGACACATAATTTTTGACATTTTGATATTTGACAACTTGACACATAATTGGTGACATTTGGCAATTTGCCACATAATTTTTGATATTTGCCAATTTGACACATAATTGGTGACATTTGACAATTTGCTACATAATTGGTGACATTTGACAATTTGACACATAATTTTTGACATTTTGATATTTGACAACTTGACACATAATTGGTGACATTTGGCAATTTGCCACATAATTTTTGACATTTTGATATTTGACAACTTGACACATAATTGGTGACATTTGAGAATTTGCTACATAATTGGTGACATTTGACAACTTGACACATAATTTTTGATATTTGACAACTTGACATAATTTTTGACATTTGACAACTTGACATAATTTTTGGCATTTTGATATTTGACGTTAGATACATAATTTTTGACATTTGACAATTTGCTACATAATTGGTGACATTTGACAACTTGACATAATTTTTGACATTTTGATATTTGACGTTAGATACATAATTTTTGACATTTGACAATTTGCTACATAATTGGTGACATTTGACAACTTGACACATAATTTTTGATATTTGACAACTTGACATAATTTTTGACATTTTGATATTTGACGTTAGATACATAATTTTTGACATTTGACAATTTGCTACATAATTGGTGACATTTGACAACTTGACACATAATTTTTGATATTTGACAACTTGACATAATTTTTGACATTTTGATATTTGACGTTAGATACATCATTTTTGACATTTTGATATTTGACGTTAGATAAATAATTTTTGACATTTGACAATTTGACACATAATTATTGACAATTTGACATATCATTAGTGACAATTTGACATTTTGATATTTGCCACATAATTTTTGACAATTTGCCACATAATTGGTGACATTTGACAATTTGCCACATAATTTTTGACATTTTGATATTTGACAACTTGACATAATTTTTGACATTTTGATATTTGACGTTAGATACATAATTTTTGACATTTTGATATTTGACGTTAGATAAATAATTTTTGACATTTGACAATTTGACACATAATTATTGACAATTTGACATATCATTAGTGACAATTTGACATTTTGATATTTGCCACATAATTTTTGACATTTGACAATTTGACACATCATTAGTGACGACAATTTGCCACGTACCGCACTACACCCACACATTTAATACTTTGATACTTAATAAAGATTATAAAAAATATTATTTTTTTTTTGTCATAATAGGTGGTAGAAAGAGCTGTACCGCCTGCAGCTTTGCAACCGGACGAAGACGAACGGCCCGATTTACCTTGGTGGAAATGTAAAAAATGGGCCTTACACATTTTGTACCGTATGTTCGAACGGTACGGTTCACCGGGACACGTCACCAAAGAATACAACGAATTCTCCGAATGGTAACCCACAACATTTATTCAATATTTTCATTTCGAAAAAATAAGTTAATTTTATTTGTTTAGTTCGTACGATTTAAAATATGACAGTTTAGTTTTTTTTTTTTTTTTTAGTGATTTCCCGCGCTCTTCGAAATTTCCCTAGTACTGTCTAAATATGTTAATTCCGCCATTTTGGCTAGGGGAGTTTTACGAAGGGCCGTTGAAATTGCCGATGCGTTGTTGCCATATCGTTGCTCTCGAAATTCCGCTATTTGTATAGTTGACATAGTTTGTATAGTCTGTATAGTCATTTTCAAATAGTTCTTAATGATTCTGGACCGTTCTAGATGACTATGGAACGTTTTAAATGGTTCTAAATCATTCTAAATGGTTGTTGACAGTTCTAATTGATCCTGTAGAATTCAAATTGGTTCTGAAACGATGTAAATGATTCTATACAGTTCTAAATTATTCTGGAGCATTCTAAATGGTTTCGTTCTAAATGATTTTGGACAGTCTTAAATGGGTCAGTACAGATCTAAATGATTCTGGACCGTTCTAGATGACTATGGAACGTTTTAAATGGTTCAAAATCATTCCAAATGGTTGTTGACAGTTCTAATTGATTCTGTAGAATTCAAATTGGTTCTGGAGCGATGTAAATGGTTCTATACAGTTCTAATTTATTCTGGAGCATTCTAAATGGTTTCGTTCTAAATGGTTTTAGACAGTCTTAAATGGGTCAGTACAGATCTAAATGATTCTGGACCGTTCTAGATGACTATGGAACGTTTTAAATGGTTCAAAATAATTCTAAATGGTTGTTGACAGTTCTAATTGATTCTGTAGAATTCAGATTGGTTCTGAAACGATGTAAATGATTCTATACAGTTCTAATTGATTCTGGAGCATTCTAAATGATTTTGGATCGTTCTAAATGGTTTTAGACAGTTCTAAATCATTCTGTATAGTACTAATTGTTTCTGGACAGTTCTAATTGATTCTGGAGCGTTCTAAATGCTTTTGGATCGTTCTAAATGGTTTTAGACAGTTCTAAATCATTCTGTATAGTACTAATTGTTTCTGGACAGTTCTAATTGATTCTGGAGCGTTCTAATTGGTTTTAGACAGTTCTAACTGGTTTTCAGTTAGAGTTTTCAGTCAGTTTTCCGGAGTGTTCTAAAAGGTCTTAGACAGTTCTAAGTGATCCTTGAGAATTGATTTTGGAGCATTCTACATGGTTTTGGAGCGATCTCAATTGTTCTAGACAGTTCTAAATGATTCTAGAGAGTTGTAATTGATTCTGGAACGTTCTAACTGGTTCTAAACAGCTCGAAATGATTTTGTTCTAGACTCTAAAACCCTTCAAAATTATTTAGAACGTTCTAGAATGCTCCAGAATCATTTAGAACGTTCTAGAATCATTTCAAACTGTCTAGAATCATTTCGAACTGTCTAGAATCATTTAGAACGCTCTAGAATCATTTCGAACTGTCTAGAACCATTTAGAACGCTCTACAATCATTTCGAACTGTCTAGAATCATTTAGAACGCTCTAGAATCATTTCAAACTGTCTATAACCTTTAATCAACTCTGTAGATTTGCAACTCTGTAAATTGAGCGTTCTAAATGGTTTTAGAACAGTTCTAAATTTAGTTCTAAATACTTCTGGAGAGTTCTAAATGATTCTAGAGACTTCTAAACATCGAAAGTAATCATAAGCTTAAATTAAATAATAAATATGTCAATCTGTTATATAAAGTATTTCAATTACAATCCGGCAACGTCGCAACAGGCCGGTCCGTGACGTCATCGTCATTTTAAAACGTACGAACTTTACATACCAAAAATGGCCGATCGAGCTAATTCTAATTATAAAAAAAACTAATTTTCTTTTATACAGTGTGTCTACTTAAGTTCGCACCATATGGAAAACTTTTTTATTATTAATTTTAGGAAAAAAAGTTATTCTTTATAAAAAGTTGTGCATGTTTTAAAACCTAAAATACAATCATCAGATATCTAATTTTTTCACTCGTATACGAGGTTTGTCAGAAAGTATGAATTTTGCTCAAAAGTAAAGTAAATCTATTTTTGAAAATATTGGAAATTGTTATCTGTTATCTCTTTATTCGTTAAAAATTTGATTACATTTACATCTCTTAACCCCTATGTTGCATTAGTTTGATTATGCATTGAAATAAATGATAACAAAGTAATTTATTTTACGATAATTATCGACTACATAAAAACATTAAAAAATGTAATTTTTAGTCCTGATCAACTTTTCTTAATAACAATTTCCGATATTTTCAAAAATAAAGGTACTTTATTCTTGAGCAAAAAACACATTTTTTTGACAAACCTCGTATACGGATTAAAAAAATTGTTATCTGATGGTAGTATTTTAGGTTTTAAAACATGCAGAACTTTTTATTAGGAATAACTTTTTTTCGTAAAATTAGTAATAAAAAAGTTTTCCATATGGTGCGAACTTAAGTAGACACACTGTATAATTTTATTTTTATTTTATTTATATTATTATTTTTCTCGCCAGGTATTTACAAACGTTCAGTTCCGGAATTCTCGAGGTACTGTTAAGAGTACTGGACGGTTATCGAGGAGGACATTGGGTACCGCCTAGGTAACGAATTGGTTCTTTCTTATAATTATACAGGGAGAGAGAGAAAACGAATTAATAATAAAATATGTACAATATATCGGGTATACAGGGTGGTCCATTGAAGTTCCGTTGATTCTAGTTCTAGTTCCTTTCGAAGCAATCTAAATTATCCAGCACAGTTTTAATTCGTTCTAAACTATTCAGGATAGTTCTAATTTGCTCTGAATTGTTCTAAACTGTGCAGGATAGTTCTATTCCCTTCCGAAGGATTTTAAATGATCCAGGACAGTTCTAATTTGCTATGAATTGTTCTAAACTGTTCAGGATAGTTCTAATTCGCTCTAAATAGTTCTAAATTGTTCAGGATGGTTCTCGTTCCTTCGCTGGAGCATTCTAAATTAGTCAGGACAGTTGTAATTCGTACTGAATTGTTCTAAACTGTTCAGGGCAGTTCTAATTCGCTCTAAATAGTTCTAAATTGTTCAGGATAGTTCTCGTTCCTTCGCTGGAGCATTCTAAATTATTCAGGACAGTTCTAATTCGCTCTGAATTGTTCTAAACTGTTCACGACAGTTCTAATTCGCTCTAAATAGTTCTAAACTGTTCAGGATAGTTCTCGTTCCTTCGCTGGAGCATTCTAAATTATCCAGAACAATTCCAATTCGCTTTGAAGTGTTCTAAATGATCGAGGACAGTTCTAATATACTCTGAATTGTTCTAAATAGTTCAGGATAGTTCTAGTTCCTTCCGAAGCATTCTAAATTATCCAGGACAGTTTGAATTCGCTTTGAAATGTTCTAAACTGTTCAGGATAGTTTTAGTTCCTTGCGAAGCATTTTAAATATTATCCAGGACAGTTCTAATTCATTCTGAAGTGTTCTAAATTATCCAGGATTGTTCTAATTCTCAGCGAAGTGTTATGAACTGTCCAGAACAGTTCTAGTTCCTTCCGAAGCTTTCTAAATGTTATCCAAGACAGTTCTAATTCATTCTAAAGTGTTCTAATTGATCCAGGACAGTTTGAATTTGCTTTGAAATGTTCTAAACTGTTCAGGATAGTTTTAGTTCCTTCCGAAGCATTTTAAATATTATCCAGGACAGTTCTAATTCATTCTGAAGTGTTCTAAATTATCCAGGATTGTTCTAATTCTCAGCGAAGTGTTATGAACTGTCCAAAACAGTTCTAGTTCCTTCCGAAGCTTTCTAAATGTTATCCAAGACAGTTCTAATTCATTCTAAAGTGTTCTAAATGATCCAGGACAGTTCGAATTCGTTTTGAAATGTTCTAAACTGTTCAGGATAGTTCCAGTTCCTTCCGAAGCATTCTAAATTATCCAAGACAGTTCTAATTCATTCTGAAGTGTTCTAAATTATCCAGGATTGTTCTAATTCTCAGCGAAGTGTTATGAACTGTCCAGAACAGTCCTAGTTCCTTCCGAAGCTTTCTAAATGTTATCCAAGACAGTTCTAAATGATCCAGGACAGTTTGAATTCGCTTTGAAATGTTCTAAACTGTTCAGGATAGTTTTAGTTCCTTCCGAAGCATTTTAAATATTATCCAGGACAGTTCTAATTCATTCTGAAGTGTTCTAAACTGTGCAGGACAGTTCTATTTCCTTCCCAAGCATTCTAAATTATTTAGGACAGCTCTAATTCGCACCGAAGTGTTAAGAACTGTCCAGAACAGTTCTAATGTGCTCTGAATGTGTTCTAATTCGCACTAAATGGTTCTAAACTTTCAAGGACTAGAATAGGGAAGGGAATATACGGGTCGTGTGACACATCATAATAAAAAGGTTATTTTTTTCGAAAATAACAAAAAAAAATTATCAAAAAGATTCGTTTTCGAAATAGTCACCTTTAAAGCTAACGCGTCACTTTTCATTGGGCCAACCCGTACATAAGGGTACTACGGAGGGTACCGAGAATACAGGGTGTCCCAATAAAAAGTAGCCTCTTTAATGAGCTAATAATTTTTAAACGCCTAATCATATAAAAACGTGCGGTTTTCGCAAATATTATTTTATTTTGCTTTAACTTTTTGTTACAGTAACACAAAAAAAAATTGTATCGCATGTACGGGGTGTTTCATAAATATCCCCTCTTTTCAATTCGCATTAACCGAATTTTATGAAATATAGGACATCTTCTTTTGTAGAATAACATGAGTACAAGTAATACATTTTTTTCGAAAAGTAGAAAAGTATATCTTTCAAAATATCTTTAAATATACGGGGTGTTCAATTACAAAAAATGGTTACTGTGAATTTAAAAGAGGAGATTTTAATTAAACACCCTGTATTGGTAATAATGCACAAAATTTCTCTATCACTATAACAAAACTTCAAATAAAATAAAGGCATGTTTCTACGATTAGGCGTTCTAAAAAAATTATAATCTCATTAAATTGAGGATACTTTTCATTTGGGACACCCTGTATTAACGTATAACGAATTAATTGATATACAGGGTGCTACAGCAAACGTTGAACTATTTAAATCAGGCCGTATCGCACGGTCACACGTGGAAAATACTGAAACCCCACATGCCCGCTATTATACAGGACGTCCTCTTTCCATTGATGAGTTATTCGGCCGAGGATCACGAATTGTGGACGGTCGATCCGCACGAATACATCAGAGTTAAATTCGGTAAGGGTTTTTATAATTTTTTTTTTTTTTTTTTTTTTTTTTTTTTTTTTTTTTTTTTTTTTTTTTTTTTTTTTTTTTTTTTTTTTTTTTTCGTGACTGTTCCGAATCGGTTCTGAATGATATTAAGGTTCTAAAACGGTTCTAATTGATTCTGGAGCATTCTAAATGTGTCTGGATAGTTCTAAATGAATTTGGAGAGTTTTAAATGGTTCTGGACCATTTTAAATGGTTCTATACAGTTCTAAATGATTCTGGAGCGTTCTAAATTATTCTGGACAGTTTCAAAGCATTCATGTGGACGGTTGATCCGCAAGAATACATCAAAGTTAAATTCGCTAAGCGTTTTGTTCTATTTTTTTTTTAATTGTTTGTGTTCCGAACCGTTCCGGATCGTACCGAATCGGTTCTGAGTGATAGTAAGGTTCTAAAACGGTTCTAATTGATTCTGGAGCATTCTAAACGTTTCTAGATAGTTCTAAATGAATTTGGAGAGTTTTAAATGATTCTGAAGTATTCTAAATGTTTCTAGATAGTTCTAAATGAATTTGGAGAGTTTTAATTGATTCTGGAGCATTCTAAATGTTTCTAGATAGTTCTAAATGAATTTGGAGAGTTTTAATTGATTCTGGAGCATTCTAAATGTTTCTAGATAGTTCTAAATGAATTTGGAGAGTTTTAATTGATTCTGGAGCATTCTAAATGTTTCTAGATAGTTCTAAATGAATTTGGAGAGTTTTAATTGATTCTGGAGCATTCTAAATGTTTCTAGATAGTTCTAAATGAATTTGGAGAGTTTTAATTGATTCTGGAGCATTCTAAATGTTTCTAGATAGTTCTAAATGAATTTGGAGAGTTTTAATTGATTCTGGAGCATTCTAAATGTTTCTAGATAGTTCTAAATGAATTTGGAGAGTTTTAAATGGTTCTGGACCATTTTAAATGGTTCTATACAGTTCTAAATGATTCTGGAGCGTTCTAAATTATTCTGGACAGTTTCAAAGCATTCATGTGGACGGTTGATCCGCAAGAATACATCAAAGTTAAATTCGCTAAGCGTTTTGTTCTATTTTTTTTTTTAATTGTTTGTGTTCCGAACCGTTCCGGATCGTACCGAATCGGTTCTGAGTGATAGTAAGGTTCTAAAACGGTTCTAATTGATTCTGGAGCATTCTAAACGTTTCTAGATAGTTCTAAATGAATTTGGAGAGTTTTAAATGATTCTGAAGTATTCTAAATGTTTCTAGATAGTTCTAAATGAATTTGGAGAGTTTTAATTGATTCTGGAGCATTCTAAATGTTTCTAGATAGTTCTAAATGAATTTGGAGAGTTTTAATTGATTCTGGAGCATTCTAAATGTTTCTAGATAGTTCTAAATGAATTTGGAGAGTTTTAATTGATTCTGGAGCATTCTAAATGTTTCTAGATAGTTCTAAATGAATTTGGAGAGTTTTAATTGATTCTGGAGCATTCTAAATGTTTCTAGATAGTTCTAAATGAATTTGGAGAGTTTTAATTGATTCTGGAGCATTCTAAATGTTTCTAGATAGTTCTAAATGAATTTGGAGAGTTTTAATTGATTCTGGAGCATTCTAAATGTTTCTAGATAGTTCTAAATGAATTTGGAGAGTTTTAAATGGTTCTGGACCATTTTAAAGGCCTTCTGGACAATTCTAAATGGTTCTAGACAGTTCTAAATGATTCTGGACCATTCTAAATTGTTCTAGACAGTTTTAAATGATTCTGGAGCATTCATGTGGACGGTTGATCCGCACGAATACATCAAAGTTAAATTCGCTAAGCGTTTTGACCTAATTTTTTTGAATCGTTTGTGTTCCGGACCGTTTCGAATGGTCCTGAATCGATTCTGAATGATATTAAGGTTCTAAAACGGTTCTAATTGATTCTGGAGCGTTTTGAATGGCTCCAGACTGTTTTATATGGATGGTTATATGCTTATAATGCTTATATGGACCGTTATACATGGTTCTAGATAGTTTTAAATGAGTCTGGAGCGTTCTAAATGGTTCCAGACTGTTTTAAGTGCTTATAATAGAGCGTTATAAATTGTTCTAGACAGTTTAAAATGTTTCCGAAATCGTTCCGGACCGTTCCGAATAGTCCTGAATCGGTTCTAAATGATTTTGAAACTATCCTAAATAATTTGAATACACGAACGAGTACAATTATTATTGATAAAATTGTTCATATAATAGTCTGTAAATTGTTCCCTACATTGTTCTAAACCGATCTAATTGATTCTGGATCATTCTAAACGGGTCCAGACTGTTTTAAATATTTATGAACCGTTCTAAATTTCTAAGTGAATCTGGATCGTTCTAGGTTGTTCTAGAAAGCTCTAAATTATTATGAAGCGTTCTAAATGATTCTAGCATCGTTTTGAACTGTTTTTTATATGCTCCTAGTCAGTTCTAAAATGGTTCCAAATGATCCTAAACAGTTCTAGTTTATCTTGGATCATTCCAAATGCTCTTGAATCCTTTCTAATGATTCTAGCATCGATTTCAACTGTTTTTGACCCTCCATGTCAGTTCTAAACTTGTTTTAAATGATCCTGGACGGTTCTAGTTTATCTTGGATCGTTCCAAATAGTCTTCAACCTGTTCTAAATGATTCTAGCATCGTTTTGAACTGTTTTTGACGCTCCTTGTCAGTTTTAAATGATCCTGGAGGTTCTAGTTTATCTTGGACCGTTCTAAATAGTCTTGAACTTTTTATAAATGATTCTAGAATCGTTTAGAACTGTTTTTGATGCTCCTAATCGGTTCTAAAATGGTTCCAAATGATCCTGAACAGTTCTAGTTTATCTTGAACTGTTCCAAATAGTCTTGAACCTGTTCTAAATGAATCTAGTATCGTTTTGAACTGTTTTTGATGTTCCTAGTCGCTTATAAAATGGTTCTAAACGATCCTGAACAATTCTAGTTTATCTTGGACCGTTCTAAATAGTCTCGAACCTGTTCTAAACGATTTTGACCAGTTCTAAATGATTCTAGCACTCGTTTGTTCCCATACGAACCTAATTAATGGTACGCGTGATAGTAAAAGAGTGCTAAATAAAAAAAATATTCCTTATTTGCAACCCGTTCTTACGAAATACTAAGAGCGTTACTAAAAGGAAAATACATTCAAATTATTTATATTCATGTTTTACCACTTTTTTCCATTTTTTTCCATGTTTTGCCACTTTTCATGATATTCCATTTTTTTCATGTTTTTTCAATTTTTGCTTGGTTTTCCATTTTTCCATGTTTTAGTACTTTTTTGATGATTTTCCATTTTTCCATGTTTTTTCCATTTTTTAGGTTTTTTTCATTTTTCCAATGTATTACCACTTTTTTTTATATTTCATTTTTTCAATGTTTTTCCATTTTTTCGTTGGTTTTCCACTTATTTTCATGTTTTCCAGGTTTTTCCTCTTTTTTCATGATTTTCCATTTTTTCATGTTTTTGCATGTTTTTCATTTTTTCATGTTTTCCGCTTTTTCCATGTTTTTCCACACTTTCCGTGTTTTTTCATTTTTTAATCGTTTTTCCACTTTTTTCATGATTTTTCATGTTTTCCATTTTTTGCACATTTTTCATGCTTTCTTTCTCATACACTCTGATGCTCATAAACACATGCAAAGTTTTCTCATTACTTTTAAACACACAAATCGACGAAAAACGCGCATAAAACCCGCCAAACACGCCAAAACGTGCAACAAAATGCAACAATTTACCCTTCCATTATAACTCTCACAAAACGAACAATCCTTCAAACAAATCCCCCATTTCGACAAACGTTTTATCGTTTTACATCAACATACTTTTTGTCATTGTTGCATTTCGCAGACGTCTTCGAGGATTTCGTCTCGCCCGTAACGGCCGCTCAAACGTTATTGCACTCGTCGTGCAGGAAACGCAAGGAAATGTTGCAGAAAACGATGGTGATGCTGACGCAGGTGCTCACCAACAACGCCACCGAACCGGCTCAAAAGGACGGGGCGTTGCACATGATCGGCACATTGGCCGATATTTTATTGAGAAAGAAGATGTACAGGTGAGATAAACGATATTTTCATACATCGGTGCAATATATATTGCAGCGATTTGTTGCATTGAAGTTAAAATACAATACAAACGTTTAAATGCGTAGTTTTTACACGTGTGGGTTGCGATAATTTTTTTATTAAGAGTGTTTTCACACGGTGCAATAAATATTGCAGCGATTTATTTTGCATTGAAGTTAAAATACAAACGTTTAAATGCGTAGTTTTTACACGTACGGGTTGCGATCATTTTTTTATTAAGAGTGTTTTCACATGGTGCAATAAATATTGCAGCGATTTGTTGCATTGAAGTTAAAATACCAACGTTTAAATGCGTAGTTTTTACACGTACGGGTTGCGATAATTTTTTTATTAAGAGTGTTTTCACACGGTGCAATAAATATTGCAGCGATTTATTTTGCATTGAAGTTAAAATACAAACGTTTAAATACTTTCGCTCGTAGGTATGTAATTAATATTAATACGAGCTTAATCTTCTGCACATTTTATTGAGAAAGAAGATGTACAGGTGAGATAAACGGTGTTTTCATACATCGGTGCAATAAATATTGCAGCGATTTATTGCATTGAAGTTAAAATACCAACGTTTAAATGCGTAGTTTTTACACGTACGGGTTGCGATCATTTTTTTATTAAGAGTGTTTTCACACGGTGCAATAAATATTGCAGCGATTTGTTGCATTGAAGTTAAAATACAATACAAACGTTTAAATGCGTAGTTTTCACACGTACGGGATGCGATAATTTTTTTATTAAGAGTGTTTTCACACGGTGCAATAAATATTGCAGCGATTTATTTTGCATTGAAGTTAAAATACAAACGTTTAAATGCGTAGTTTTCACACGTGTGGGATGCGATCATTTTTTTATTAAGAGTGTTTTCACACGGTGCAATAAATATTACAGCGATTTATTGCATTGGAGTTAAAATGCAAACGTTTAAATACTTTCGCTCGTAGGTATGTAATTAATATTAATACGAGCTTAATCTTCTGCACATTTTATTGAGAAAGAAGATGTACAGGTGAGATAAACGATATTTTCACACATCGGTGCAATATATACCTTGTTTCATTCGCGATTGCAACATGGGCAATTCTATGAGTTGAACAAAGAAAGATTATCAAAAGAACTGTTGTCAGAGTGAAAAGTTGCAATGACATAATATCACTCTTTATTTTTTCTTTATAAGTGTCTAAATAATGTTGTCTTTGTTGCACCCATAGCCTATGTTGCAATAAAAAAATGGAGCAACCTGTATATTGCAGCGATTTATTGCATTGAAATTAAAATACAAACGTTTAAATTCGTAGTTTTCACACGTATGGGATGCGATAATTATTATTAAAAGCTCTTTTACACGGTGCAATAAATATTGCAGCGATTTATTGCATTGAAGTTAAAATGCAAACGTTTAAATACGCTCGTAGGTATGTGATTATTATTATTACAAGCTTTTTCAAACGGTGCAATATCTTGCAACAATTTATTGCAGTTAAAATGCAAACGTTAAAATGGGTAGTTTCACACGTATGCGATACGATAATTTTTATTAAGACCGTTTTCACACAGTGCAATAAATTGATGCAATATATGTATATTGCAGCGATTTATTGTACTGATGTTAAAATGCAAACGTTTAAATGCGTAATTTTTTCACGTATGGTATGCGGTAATATTTTTTAAAAAGAGTGTTTTTACACGGTGCAATATACAGTGTGTGTCACGAAGAGGGCCCATTAGAAGTATCTGGAAAAGTAGTGGTAATTAAAATTTGAAAATTTGTGTACAAGCATTAGTCGATGCGCTCTATTCAATGAAAATATTTTCAACTTTTCTTTACTTCCGGTTATACCGGAAGTGGACAGCAACTTTGTTATTTTAAATGAGACACCCCATATATTAGTATATTTTCGAAATGTATGCAAAATTTTAAAGTGATTTTGTCTAAAAAACTTTTTTCAAAAATGCATACTTTTTGAGTTACTAATTTTATTTTGAAAAATTTGACCGATGCAGACCCTTATAAATTATTTTTTTACGGGGATCCCTTTAAAGATATTGATACGGTTTCTGTAGGGTGGCTACTAGCAAGGTCAAAGGTATTTGAATCTGTGTTAAAAAACTTTTTATTTTATACAGGGTGTATTCAAAACATGTTAAAAGTTGAACATCAAAAATACCAAATTATTTCATTTTTTTAAATGGAACCACCCATTTTTTTCAATTTTATTGAAATCAGCGATAAAAAATAATGAAAGTTCATGTTTACTTCCCTATACCTAAACCTAATAGGTTTGATGATATTAAAAATTTTACTTAAAACTTACTTTTCTGCCTTATTCTTAAATAATCCGTTTTTACAAGTTGGCCATGTAAATTGCTTGTTATTAATTGATTATTAATTTTGGTACTTGTGAGATACACAAATTTTCAAATTTTAATTACCACTACTTTTCCAGATACTTCTAATGGGCCCTCTTCGTGACACACACTGTATTGCATTGAAGTTAAAATACAAACATTCAACGTTTCAAATTTTATTACGAGCGTTTTCACACGATGCAATATGTTGCATTGAAGTAAAAATGCAAACTTTATATTAACAAATTAAAATGCTTTATATTAAAATGCAAAACTATATATTGCACCAATTTATTGCAGTTAACATGTAAACGTTCAAATAGTTTTCGTAGTTTTCGCACCTAGATATGCGATAATTTTTATTAAGAGCGTTTTCACACTGTGCAATATATTGCCCCAAATTGTTGCTAGTTTTTAGACTCATGTGATGAGATACTTATTATTAAGAGCGACAGTTCTACACTTATTCTAGACAGTTCTAAATGATTCTGGATTATTCCAAATGGATTTGGAGTGTTCTAAATGATTCTAAAGAGTTGTAAATGCACATTTCTACTACTCCATTCCTCTACTTTTGTACACTTCTACTACTCCATTCCTCTACTCCTATACACTTCTACTACTTCCATACCTCTCCATACCTCCATACTCTCCATACCTCCACTCTTGTACACTTCTACTACAGACTGTACTACTCTTGTTCACTTTTACAACTCCATACTACACACTAATAACTCGCATCTCACTCACTAGAATTATTCTCTCTTTTTCTCGTTCCTTCAGTTACCAATTGGACCAACTGTTCATCAAGTACGTCTTCCCCGAATTCGACAGCGACCGCGTTCTTAATGATTCTGTACAGTTTTAAATGATTCTGTACTTCATCCATCGAACCAACGGAGTAACCAAAACAAGATTAGACGCTGGATCATCAATCACATTCGCATCTATTGGTTAAAATAAAAAAAAGCCTCTTTACGCTGACCAATCACTGATGATCATACGTTGATCCAGCGTGTAAACTTGTTTTAGTTACTCCATTGCTTAGATGGATGAAGTATAGACAGTTCTAAATCCTTCCTAACGATTTTTGCCTTTTTTCCTTTTTCTGTTTCACAAGTTTATAGTTCAAATCACCGGAGCTCCACCGTCCGAGGATATATCCTCCACCTTTCCCCGCTACTCCCCTGCTACTCCATATACTCTTCCACTACTACTCCCTTCCTCTAATCTTGTACACCTCTACTACGCCTACATACATACATACATACATACTCCCATCTCACTCACTCGTTCACTTATAGTCTATTTTTCTCTCTCGTTCGTTTAGGGACCAATTGGACCAACTGTTCATCAAGTACGTCTTCCCCGAGTTCGACAGCGACCGCGTTCTAAATGATTCTGTACAGTTCTAAATGATTCTAGACAGTTCTAAATGATTCTAGAGAGTTTTGAATGATTCTAGAGAGTTTTAAATGATTCTGGAGTATTCTAAATGATTCTAGACAGTTCTAAATGATTCTAGACAGTTCTAAATGATTCTAGACAGTTCTAAATGATTCTAGACAGTTCTAAATGATTCTAGAGAGTTTTGAATGATTCTAGACAGTTCTAAATGATTCTAGACAGTTCTAAATGATTCTAGACAGTTCTAAATGATTCTAGAGAGTTTTGAATGATTCTAGACAGTTCTAAATGATTCTAGACAGTTCTAAATGATTCTAGACAGTTCTAAATGATTCTAGACAGTTCTAAATGATTCTAGAGAGTTTTGAATGATTCTAGAGAGTTTTAAATGATTCTAGACAGTTCTAAATGATTCTAGACAGTTCTAAATGATTCTAGAGAGTTTTGAATGATTCTAGACAGTTCTAAATGATTCTAGACAGTTCTAAATGATTCTAGACAGTTCTAAATGATTCTAGAGAGTTTTAAATGATTCTAGACAGTTCTAAATGATTCTAGACAGTTCTAAATGATTCTGGAACGTTCTAAATGATTCTAGACAGTTCTTAATTCTTCTTAATTCTCTCTTTTTCTCTCTCGTTCCTTTAGGGACCAATTGGACCAACTGTTCATCAAGTACGTCTTCCCCGAATTCGACAGCGATCGAGGTCACATGCGCGCCCGCGCCTGCTGGACCCTCCACTACTTCGCCGAGTTCGATTTCAAACAGGACCCGATCCTCGCCCAAGCGGTCAATCTCACCGTCCGTTCGCTGCTCTTCGACAAAGACCTGCCCGTCAAAGTCGAGGCCGCCATCGCGCTGCAATCTCTGCTCAACCACCAGGAGAGGGCGCAGAAGTACGTCGAACCCCAGGTCACTCGGATCGCCTTGGAATTGTTGAACGTCATCAGAGAGACGGAGAACGAGGACGTGACGGGCGTCATGCAGAAGCTGGTGTGCGTCTACGTGCAGGAATTGACCCCCATCGCGGTGGAGATTTGCCAGCAATTGGCCACCACGTTCAATCAGGTGTTGGACACCGACGAGGGATCGGACGAGAAGGCCATCATGGCGATGGGTTTGTTGAACACCATCGAAACGTTGTTGACGGTGATGGACGAACGGCCGGAGATCGTTCGGTTGTTGGAACCGACGGTGCTGAGGGTGGTGGTGAACGTGTTCCAGAACGAGGCGCAGGAGTTCTACGAGGAGGTGTTGGCGTTGATCTACGATTTGACCAGCAAACAGGTGTCGCCCGACATGTGGAAGGTGTTCGAGATGTTGTATCAGGTGAGCGGGGCGTCTGTGGAGGAGGGGTGGGGAAGGAGGAGGGTGTAGGGGGGGAGGTAGGAGTGGGGCGTGCGTGGGGAAGGGGGGAAGAGGTGAGGGTGTAAGAGGGGGGGGGGGTAGGAGTGGGGCGCAGGAGTGGGGCGAAATTTCTAACACAATGGGGAATGATTTTTGAGTATATTTTACGTATATTTTACGAAAAATTTACCGTCCTTTACACTACTAAAATACGTTGCAGATTCGTATTATTTACGAATAAAATACGGAATTATTACTTTGTAGTAACTTGATGTGGGGATCTCACTTTTATCTGCCTCTTTGTTTTTTACAACGAAATACCTATAATGTTACATCGTTCTATATTTCTCAACTTTACTCCATCACACTACGAATGGCGTTTATAAAAGAATATTATTAGGTTAACTCATATATATTAATAATATTTCATTAATATTGACATAAAAAAAATAGAACGCAAGAGACTTTACTGATAAATATGAAAGTTGTACTTCGAAAAATTATAAGCGCCTTTCGAAAATGTAAATTTAGGTTATACGAAAGATCAAAAATCGTGAAAATCAAAAATATAACTTAAATTTTTATTACATAATTTCTGTTTAAGAACTAATATTAGTATCTATAGTATAATAATAACAAAAAATTGAATTAAAAAAACTTAAATATCGACTCTTACGGCCTTAATTAATATATCTAAAAAAAGGGCAAATCCATGGCTACCTTTTATGTGTAAAAAATATGGCGGTATGCTATCCTCTCTAGAGAAATATACTTTGTGGCAAAATTTTGCTATAACTCCTTACTTTGAAGTACATTTTACTTCATAGTACTTTTATCAGGAATAATATACTTTAAAGAAATTATACTATAAGTACATTCTACTTATAGGTATTTCATCGACATTAAAACAAGTGTTTAAAACTTAAAAGTTTACTTACAAGTAACTTACGCCAAAGTATAAACTGAAGTATATTTTACGAATATAAAACTATTAAATATACTTCTAGGTATAAAAAACGTTATAGTATTATTTTGGAAACCAAATAAGTGTTGCTTACTTTAGTTTTGCACCGTTTTTATACCAATTTATACCAATTTATTATTTTGCTCATTGGGAGGGTTACTAAAACAGCCGCTAGAAGGCGATGTTGTAAAGGACCACGGTTTTTTGCGTACGAATTATACAGTGAGGACCAAAAGTCCGTCGCCCCCCCCCCCTTTAAGTTTTGATTGGTTAGAGCTTTTATCGCGAAATTTGGGGTGTTTATATTTGAGTAAACAATACTATTATTTGACGTAAAAATGACAGTTGAAACTTTCAAAATGACAGTTAGGCGCCATTTTGAATCTTTTTTTCTTATGGAAAGGGGGGTCAAGTGACACATCGTTTTAAAGGTAATTTAATTTTTAAGTCAAACCCCAAATTTGAAAACATTTTAATAAGGCGTATTCACGTGAAGACCAATTTAGTTTTAACCCTCTGGCATAATGATACATTTAAGAATTAATTCTGAACGTACTATAAAATATGTCAATTAATTGTTGCTATGGTTTCTTGACTCTGACAATTATTTGTCAAATTTAAAGTTGATGAAATTGGCAGTTTTTTTGTTTTAAGGACGAGCCATTGTCAATTTCATCTACTTTAAATTTAACAAATAGCAGTAGAATCGGAGTATTGTCGAGTAGGAGTAAAATAGGAGTAGAATTGGAGTGGAATAGCAAGAAATAATCTCCTTAGTTACATCATAACAACCAATCTAAAATTGTCAAATGTTAAAGAATCTCCTTAGTTACTCCATAACAACCAATGTAAAACTGTCAATTCGAAAGAATCTCCTTAGTTACTCCATAACAACCAATGTACAACTGTCAAATGTGAAAGAATCTCCTTAGTTACATCATAATATCCAATCTAAAACTGTCAAATGTTAAAGAATCTCCTTAGTTACTCAATAACAACCAATGTTAAACTGTCAATTCTAAAGAATTTCCTTAGTTACTCCATAACAACCAATGTAAAAATGTCAAATGTGTAAGAATCTCCTTAGTTACATCATAATATCCAATCTAAAACTGTCAAATGTTAAAGAATCTCCTTAGTTACTCCATAACAACCAATGTAAAACTGTCAATTCGAAATAATCTCCTTAGTTACTCCATAACAACCAATGTAAAACTGTCAATTCGAAATAATCTCCTTAGTTACTCCATAACAACCAATGTAAAACTGTCAATTATGAAATAATCTCCTTAGTTACTCCATAACAACCAATGTAAAACTGTCAAATATGAAATAATCTCCTTAGTTACTCCATAACAACCAATGTAAAACTGTCAATTCGAAAGAATCTCCTTAGTTACTCCATAACAACCAATGTAAAAATGTCAAATGTGTAAGAATCTCCTTAGTTACATCATAATATCCAATCTAAAACTGTCAAATGTTAAAGAATCTCCTTAGTTACTCAATAACAACCAATGTTAAACTGTCAATTCCAAAGAATCTCCTTAGTTACTCCATAACAACCAATGTAAAAATGTCAAATGTGTAAGAATCTCCTTAGTTACATCATAATATCCAATCTAAAACTGTCAAATGTTAAAGAATCTCCTTAGTTACTCCATAACAACCAATGTAAAACTGTTAATTCGAAATAATCTCCTTAGTTACTCCATAACAACCAATGTAAAACTGTCAAATGTGAAATAATCTCCTTAGTTACTCCATAACAACCAATGTAAAACTGTCAATTATGAAATAATCTCCTTAGTTACTCCATAACAACCAATGTAAAACTGTCAAATATGAAAAAATCTCCTTAGTTACTCCATAACAACCAATCTAAAACTGTCAAATGTTAAAGAATCTCCTTAGTTACTCCATAACAACCAATGTAAAACTGTCAAATGTGAAAGAATCTTCTTAGTTACTCAATAACAACCAATGCAAAACAGTCAAAACACGCGACTTTAAAGCCGCTTTTACACCAAAATTTAAACCCGCCCTTTAAATAACCCGATTTGTCCCATCCAGGTATTCCTGAAAAACGGCTTCGATCACTTCACCGACATGATGCCGGCCCTGCACAATTAATACACAATCCATAACAACCAAAATGTAAATCTGTGAAATTCTAAAGAATCTCCTTAGTTACTCCATAACAACCAATGTAAAACTGTCAATTATGAAATAATCTCCTTAGTTACTCCATAACAACCAATGCTAAACTGTCAAATATGAAATAATCTCCTTAGTTACTCCATAACAACCAATGTTAAACTGTCAATTCGAAAGAATCTCCTTAGTTACTCCATAACAACCAATGTAAAACTGTCAAATGTTAAAAGAATTTCCTTAGTTACTCAATAACAACCAATGTAAATCTGTCAATTCAAAATAATCTCCTTAGTTACTCCATAACAACCAATGTAAAACTGTCAAATGTTAAAGAATCACCTTAGTTACTCCATAACAACCAATGCAAAACAGTCAAAAGACGCGACTTTAAAGCCGCTTTTACACCAAAATTTAGACCCGCCCTTTAAATAACCCGATTTGTCCCATCCAGGTATTCCTGAAAAACGGCTTCGATCACTTCACCGACATGATGCCGGCCCTGCACAATTAATACACAATCCATAACAACCAAAATGTAAATCTGTGAAATTCTAAAGAATCTCCTTAGTTACTCCATAACAACCAATGTAAAACTGTCAATTATGAAATAATCTCCTTAGTTACTCCATAACAACCAATGCTAAACTGTCAAATATGAAATAATCTCCTTAGTTACTCCATAACAACCAATGTTAAACTGTCAATTCGAAAGAATCTCCTTAGTTACTCCATAACAACCAATGTAAAACTGTCAAATGTTAAAAGAATCTCCTTAGTTACTCAATAACAACCAACGTAAAACAGTCAATCGGCGCGACTTTTCAGCCGCTTTTACACCAAAATTCAGACCCGCCCTTTAAATAACCCGATTTGTCCCATCCAGGTATTCCTGAAAAACGGCTTCGATCACTTCACCGACATGATGCCGGCCCTGCACAATTAATACACAATCCATAACAACCAAAATGTAAATCTGTGAAATTCTAAAGAATTTCCTTTGTTACTCCATAACAACCACTGCAAAACTGTGAAATGTTAAAAAATCTCCTTAGTTACTCCATAACAACCAATGTAAAACTGCCAAATGTGAAAGAATCTCCTTAGTTACTCCATAACAACCAATCTAAAACTGTCAAATGTGAAAAAATCTCCTTAGTTACTCCATAACAACCAACGTAAAACAGTCAAAAGACGCGACTTTAAAGCCGCTTTTAGACGAAAGTTTAGACCCGCCCTTTAAATACAGTTAAATTCAGCTTAGTTGAATACACCACGTGTTTTTTCGCGCACAACATCATAAAAGAGGCTGGGCTCAGCCGATGTTTTCGATGCAAATAACAAATAATGAATTACAAATAAACCCCGACTCGACCTTCGCTGTTATCGGGTATACTGTGGATGGTTCGCCGGTCATACTTTTGGGGTAAAACCACGCCTATCTCTTTAGTTTCGTCTGTGCGCATTTTTACAGCTGTATTCAACTGAGCTGAATTTAATTCTAACTAAATAACCCGATTTGTCCCGTCCAGGTATTCCTGAAAAACGGCTTCGATCACTTCACCGACATGATGCCGGCCCTGCACAACTACATCACCATCGACACCGACGCCTTCCTGTCGGACGAGCAACGATTGCTCGCCGTCTACAACATGTGCAAAATGGTGCTCGTGAAGGATTCGGGCGAAGACCCCGAATCGCACGCCGCCAAATTGCTCGAGGTCGTTCTGTTGCAATGCCGGAAGAAAATCGACGCCGCGGCGCCGATGCTGATCGAATTGGCGGCGTCTCGCCTGCTGCGCGAAGTGAAAACGAGCGAATTGCGAACGATGTGCCTGCAGGTGCTCATAGCCGCCTTGTACTACGACGCGCAATTGTTGTTTGCCGTGTTGTCGAAGATGCCCGATTTTACGAATCATTTTATCAAACAGTGGTTGCACGATACCGATTGTTTTTTAGGTAAATTGATTTTTTTTTTTTGGTTTTTTTTTTTTTTGAGTAGATGCGGAGTGGAGAGATTCAGGGTAGGTTTAGTGAAGATTGGAGTAGATTCGGAGCAGTTTTAGTGAAGATTCGGAGCAGATTTAGTGAAGATTCGGAGCAGGTCCGGAGTAGATTCAGAGCAGATTAGTGAAGATTGGAGTAGATTCAGAACAGATTGGTGTAGATTTAGAGCAGATTTAGAGTAGATTAGTGTTGTCGAAGATGCTGGATTTTACGAATCATTTTATCAAACAGTGGTTGCACGATACCGATTGTTTTTTAGGTAAATTGATTTTTTTTTTTTTGTTTTTTTTTTTGAGTAGATGCGGAGTGGAGAGATTCAGGGTAGGTTTAGTGAAGATTGGAGTAGATTCGGAGCAGATTTAGTGAAGATTCGGAGCAGGTCCGGAGTAGATTCAGAGCAGATTAGTGAAGATTGGAGTAGATTCAGAACAGATTTAGTGAAGATTGGAGTAGATTCAGAGCAGATTTAGTGAAGATTGGTGTAAATTCATGGCAGATTTAGAGTAGATTAGTGTTGTCGAAGATGCAGGATTTTACGAATCATTTTATCAAACAGTGGTTGCACGATACCGATTGTTTTTTAGGTAAATTGATTTTTTTTTTTGTTTTTTTTTTTTGAGTAGATGCGGAGTGGAGAGATTCAGGGTAGGTTTAGTGAAGATTGGAGTAGATTCGGAGCAGATTTAGTGAAGATTGGTGTAGATTCAGAGCAGATTTAGAGTAGACTCGGAGCAGATTTAGTGAATATTGGAGCAGGTCCGGTGTAGAATCAGAACAGATTTAGTGAGGATTGGAGTAGATTCAGAGCAGATTTAGTGAAGATTGGAGTAGATTCAGAACAGATTGGTGTAGATTTAGAGCAGATTTAGTGAAGATTGGAGTAGGTCCGGAGTAGATTGGAGTAGATTCATATTGTATTGGTGTAGATTTAGAGCAGATTTAGAGTAGATTAGTGTTGTCGAAGATGCTGGATTTTACGAATCATTTTATCAAACAGTGGTTGCACGATACCGATTGTTTTTTAGGTAAATTGATTTTTTTTTGGTTTTTTTTTTGAGTAGATGCGGAGTGGAGAGATTCAGGGTAGGTTTAGTGAATATTGGAGTAGATTCGGAGCAGATTTAGTGAAGATTGGTGTAGATTCAGAGCAGATTAGAGTAGACTCGGAGCAGATTTAGTGAATATTGGAGCAGGTCCGGTGTAGAATCAGAACAGATTTAGTGAGGATTGGAGTAGATTCAGAGCAGATTTAGTGAAGATTGGACTAGGTCCGGAGTAGATTTTGAGCAGAGTTAGAGTAGATTCGGAGTAGATTTAGAGTAGACTCGGAGCAGATTTAGTGAATATTGGAGCAGGTCCGGAGTAGATTCAGAGCAGATTAGTGAAGATTGGAGTAGATTCAGAACATATTGGTGTAGATTCAGACCAGATTTAGTGATGATTGGTGTAGATTCAGAAGACTAGATTTAGTGAAGATTGGTGTAGATTCAGGGCGGATTTGGAGTAGATTAGTGTTGTCGAAGATGCCGGATTTTACGAATCATTTTATCAAACAGTGGTTGCACGATACCGATTGTTTTTTAGGCAAATTGATTTTTTTTTTTTGTTTCTTTTTTGAGTAGATGCGGAGTGGAGAGATTCAGGGTAGGTTTTGTGAAGATTGGAGTAGATTCGGAGCAGATTTAGAGTAGATTCGGAGCAGTTTTAGAGTAGATTCGGAGCAGGTTTAGTGAAGATTGGAGTAGATTCAGAGCAGATTAGTGAAACTTGGAGGAGATTCAGAACAGATTGGTGTAGATTCAGAACAGATTGGTGTAGATTCAGACCAGATTTAGTAAAGATTGGACTAGGTCCGGAGTAGATTTAGAGCAGAATTAGAGTAGATTCGGAGCAGATTTAGAGTAGATTCGGACCAGATTTAGTGAAGATTCGGAGCAGATTTAGTGAAGATTGGTGTAGATTCAGAGCAGATTTAGAGTAGAATCAGAGCAGATTTGTGGTAGATTAGATTAGATTCGGAGTAGAGAAGATCTAGTGCAGATATAGAGTAGATTCAGAGAAGATTCATAGAAAATTGGAGTTGATTCAGAGTAAATTCGAATGAGATTGAGTGTAGGTTCTAGGTTCAGACAATATCTCTCTCTCGTACTATATCTCTTTCTTTCTCTCGCACTATCTACTATCTACTTGTATCCTATAATAAATATACTTTAATAATAATTATAATTGAATAATTCAACATAAGTTTCTTATTTTGTTTGTGTACATCTTCAGGTATCCACGATAGGAAATTGTGCGTATTGGGATTGTGCACTTTAATTTCGATGCCGAACAAACCGCCGGTGTTGATGGAAGTGGCTCCCAAAATCGTACCGTCTTTGATATTGCTCTTCGACGGTTTGAAGAGGGCCTACGTCGCGAAGGCGGCCGAGGCCACCGAAGAAGAGGACAGCGATAGTTCGGACGGCGAAATAGAAAGAGGTGGGTGTATTGAGTATTGTAGGGGTTTGTGGTGGGGTTTGGATTTGCAGCGAAATCGGAGAAGATTGAGGAGTAGATTCGGAGTGAATTTAGAGCAGATTCTGAGTATATTAAAAGTACATTTACAGAGTAGATTAAGGAGTAGATTCAGAGTATATTCTGGAGCAGATATTGAGTAGATTTAGAGTAGAATCGGAGTGAATTTAGAGCAGATTCTGAGTATATTAAAAGTACATTTACAGAGTAGATTAAGGAGTAGATTCAGAGTAGATTAAGAGCAGATTCAGAGTAAATTTAGAGTATAGATTAAGGAGTAGATTTAGAGTAAATTCTGTAATAGATTCGGAGTAGATTCGGAGTAGATTAAGAGCAGTTTGGAGAGAATTTGGAGTAGATTAAGAGCAAATAGAGAATAGATTCAAAGAAAATTTACCGAGATAGGAGGATATCCAAAGGCGATTCATAGTAAATTTAGAGTAAATTCAGAGTAAATTGAGCAGTAGATTACGGAGTAGATTCAAAGTAAATTTAGCAGTAAATTTACAGTAGATTAAGAGGAGATGCTGAGTAAGTTTACAGAGTGGATTAGGAGGAGATTCAAAAGCGATTCGGAGTCAATTTGGAGCAAATTTTGAGTAGATTAGGAGCACTTTTACAATAATTTAAGAACAGGTTCAGAGTAAATTTGGCAGTAAATTCAGAGTAAACTCAAAGAAAATTTGCAGATTAGATTCGGAGGCCATTCAATGTAAATTTACAGTAGATTCAGTGTAAATTAAGCAGTAAATTCTGAGTAGATTAAGAGCAGATTCAGAGTAGATTCGGAGGCAATTCAAAGTAAATTTAGAGTAGATTCAGAGTTCATTCAGTGTAGATTAAGGAGTAGATTGGGCTGTAAAATCGGAGATTGAGGAGTAGAATCGGAATAGATTCAGACTAAATTTAGAGTAGAATAAGAGCAGATACATTTATAGCAATTTCAGTGTAGATTCAGAGTAAAATTAAGAGTAAATTTAGAGTAGATTAGAGGTTTCAGACAGTTCTACATGATTCTGGAACATTCTAGAGGGTCTTAAACAATTCTGTAATTCTAGAGTCTACGAACCATTTAGGATGCTTCAGAATAGAATTTAGAATGCTCCATAGTCATTTAAACTACTTCAGCAAGGTAGAGTAGGAGTAGAGTAGAGTAGAGTAGAGTAGAGTAGAGTAGAGTAGAGTAGAGTAGAGTAGAGTAGAATAGAGTAGGAGTAGAGTTGAGTAGAGTAGAGTAGAGTAGAGTAGAATAGAGTAGGAGTAGAGTAGAGTAGAGTAGAGTAGAGTAAAGTAAAGTAGGAGTAGAGTAGAGTAGGGTAGGGTAGGGTAGGGTAGGGTAGGGTAGGGTAGGGTAGATTCATAGTAAAATCAGAGTAGATTAAAAGCAGTTTTTGCGCAGATTCAGAGTATGTTCAAAGTAAATTTACAGAGTAGATTCAGAATCGATAAGGAGCCGATTCAAAGTAGAGTAGATTCAGCGTAAATTGAACAGTAGATAAAGAGTAAATTCAGGGTATATTCAAAGTATATTTACAGAGTAGATTAGGAGGAGAATCGGAGGCGATTCAGAGTAAATTTAGAGTAGATTAGAAGTTCCAGACAGTTCTACATGTTTCTGGAGCATTCTAGAACGTCCTAATTAATTCTGTAATTCTGAATGGTTCTAGAGTCTAGAACCATTTTGGACTCTTCAGAAGAAAATTTAGAATGCTCCATTAGTCATTTAGACTTCTCCAGCAGGGTAGAGTAGAGAAGAGTAGGAGTGGAGTAGAGTAGAGTAGGAGTACAGTTCGGACTATAAATTCGAACGAAATAATCCATATAAATTTTTGTACTATCGAACGAATTTTCCTAGCTAATACTCGATCTGAAATCTGTATATCTTTTTTCGCTTATACCCTATACTCTTTTTTTTTAAGAGGAGTAGAATCGGAATAGATTCAGACTAAATTTAGAGTAGATTAAGAGCAGATACAGAGGAGATTCGCAGGAGATTTAGAGCAAATTCAGTGTAGATTCAGAGTAAAATTAAGAGTAAATTTAGAGTAGATTAGAGGTTCTACACTTAGACAGTTCTACATGATTCTGGGGCATTCTAGAGCATCCTAAACAATTCTGTAATTCTGAAGGGTTCTAGAGTCTAGAACCATTTTGGACTCTTCAGAACAGAATTTAGAATGCTCCATAGTCACTTAGACTACTCCAACAGGGTAGAGTTGCAGTAGAGTAGAGTAGAGAAGTGTAGAAGTGGAGTAGTAATAGAGTAGGGTTCGTTAAAAATGCTTCTGAAGGGTTCTAGATTGTTCTAAAGACTGTTCAAAACTGTTCTAGATAGTTCTAAATAATTTTGGAACGTTCTAAATGACAATGAAGCGTTATAAATGGTTCTGGTTCCTTCTAAATGGTTTTAGTCGGTTCCAAATGGTTCTGTATGGTTCTTAATTGTTCCAGACAGTTCTAAACGATTCTAGCAAGTTCTAAATTATACAGGATGTTAATATATTGCACGTGTTTGTTCACGCTCTTACCTTTATTTAGTGGCATTTGCGTTGTTAATTTCGTGCTAGATAAAAAATTTATTCCTTATTTGCAACCCGTCCCTACGAAATACTAGGGGTGTTACTAATCGGAATGTACATTTTTTAAACCTTACGACTACGAGATAACTCGTAGTCAATTCGCGTTCTGGTCCGGGACGCCGCGCTACGAGTTATCTCGTATTGATATAATGGCGATTCAAATGAGGTCGGTTTTTCGGACAGGAATTTTGAAAATTGCCGTGGCAGTCGACGTGTTTAACTTTTTTTTACTCCAACAGGGTAGAGTTGCAGTAGAGTAGAGTAGAGAAGTGTAGAAGTGGAGTAGTAATAGAGTAGGGTTCGGATAAGAAAATCGAACGAAATAATCCATATTAAATTTTTGTACCATCCAACGAATTTTCCTATTTTTTTTCTTTCTATTTATCTCAGACATATTGAGTTCGGACGAGGACGAAATCGACGATCAGGGCCAGGATTATTTGGAGCATCTATCGAAAAGGGCGACGACGGCCCTGGAAGGGCAATCGATGAACGCGACGGCGACCATTTTGGACGATATCGATGGTAATTCTGACGAGGACGATTCCGATTTCGAACCGAACGAAGAAACGGTTCTCGAATCGTACACGACACCATTGGATGATGAAGATTGCGATGTTGATGAGTATCAGGCGTTCAAACAAATCATGACCGGTGAGTTTACATCGGGTTGATGATGCATTGAGGCTCTATACAGGGTGTCTACCAGTGTTGTTAAGTAATTAATTACAAGTAATTGAAATAGTAATTGATTTACTTTTATTGTAATTGAGGCGGTAATTAATTACATGCTCCTCAATTTTAATTCATTTGTAATTCAATTACTCCTTTCGTTACAATTACAATTACATTTTACAATTATATTTCAATTACATTGGACACAAAAGTACTTATTTAATATTTTCAATACGTAGAAAGTTTAATTCCGATTGCAAATACCTAAATAATTATTTAAAACTGACACCAAAGTAATTGTGATTGTAATTGTAATTGTAACTTTAATTGTAATTACATTCGCAAATTTTGTAATTGAAATTGCAATTAATTACAATTTGCCAAAAGTAATTGTAATTAATTACATATTATAAAGTAATTTTAACATCACTGGTGTCTACTATAAAACCCGCCAAACTTCAGGAGGTGATTATACAGGGTGGTCCTCTAAGAATGGCTCTCGGCCATATCTCGCAAATTAATTGTCATAGAGACTTGTGGTAAAAAATCTTATGACTAAATCGACCAAAAAAAAATGCTAGAAATAATTTTTAGGTCTTTAAAATGGCCGTTAGAGGGAGTATCCGCCATCTTGATTTTTAAAAGTCATTTTTTTCAAATATTTCCTAAGTAATGGTATCAAAAATATACTTTATTTTGATAGTTAAGATAATTTAGAATATTTTTGGTTATATATTTTTGACTCTATCTTTTAAAATAAAGTGGTGAGGGTGGTTTGAATATTTTGACTAATAAATGTTAATAACTTTTAAACAGCTGAACCGATTTTCAAAAAAATGATATTTTTGAAAAGGGCTTTCTTTGGTCTATAATTTACGCTATATAAGATATTATTTTAATTGCTTGCTTGGCCGTAAGAGGGCGTTTTCCGACATCACTTTAAAAAACACCGATTTTCTCAAAAATGTTTGAAAAAAAAAACGACTTTTTAGAATCGAGATGGCGTATACTTCCCCTAGCGGCCATTTTAGAGACTTAAAAAGTATTTCCAGCATTTTCTTTTTGCCAATTTATTCACAAGATTTTTTACCGCAAGTCTCTATGACAATTAGTTTCTGATATACAGCCGGTTACCTCTTCTGGTGGGACACCCTGTACATCCGAAACGGGGGTGATTCTCCTTGGGTTATATTATGACTAATGCCCGATTTCACCAAAATCAGTTTCGTGCAGTTTCTAAAAACTTTCCTCCCATTTTCAATTATCTTCTAAAGAGTCTAAAGACAGTCAAGTCATCAAATCACATGAAAAGTATGGTTAAGTATTTCCTAAATGTTTTAGGCAAGCCCAGTGAGTTGTCCTAACTTTAGGCATTTCCTATTACCTTTAGGTATTACATAAGACAAATTACATAAGGCATTAATCATACTTTTCATGTGACTTAAGACTTGACTGTCTTTGGAAGAAAATTTTAAACGAGAAGAGAGTTCTAGAATCTCTCTAGATATATTAAAAAGAATTGAAGATGATTTTTAATTTGAAATGCAGGAAGTTTTTTGATACAAACTGGGGACTTGGCAGGTGTGAGTCCCAACACAAGTAGCCGAGAGTAATTAAAAAGCTAATTGGAGGCTATCTAAATAATATTATGGGAACAAAAGCTATATTTCTATTAATTATTATTAATTATTAATCCGACTACATCTTCAGCAGATTTAAAAATAACTAACATAGTTTTGAAGATGACCCGGATCATCAACCTCATCTCTTCTTTTCTTTCAACATATTCAATTTTGATCTCCGCTTATTCGGTTTACACGTCAAAATTAGCCAATGCTACCAATAAAATTCAAAAAATTGTCGAAATCAAATTTTTACCTAGGTATTTCTTAGTAAGGGATTTCTATTATAGCCGATTAGCAAATCGGCTTAGGAAAATATCGATGAAAATAGTTTTCCAGGTTTTTCTAAAAATCGAAATAACTCGTAAACGGTAAGATTTACGAACATTTTTTATGCTTGCAAAAAAATTTGTAATTCTTTTTATCATCCAATAAAACATACCGGGTATTTTTCCGATCAGTACTTTTTGAGTTTTTTCGAAAAAAACCGTTTTTAAATTGTCTTCAAGTTTGTACCGCCAAAACTCGGAAACTATCATCTTTTAGAAAATTTCGAAAGCGAACATTTATAGATCCGACATTTTTCTACCTACCAAATTTTTTTTCAATTTTTTTGAATAATATTTATCGAATTATCAAGATTTTTCGAAATCGGTGCATATTTTACCGCCTCCTTCGAACCGGAAGTGAAAACTTTCAGATCGACGATGACGTACGATCATTCCCGAACGAAAGACAAAATGGATGACATTTGAGTTTCTATGGAAACGATGACATTTAATTTGATATACAGGGTGATTTTTACTTAAGAAAATCGGAAAAATTGAAAGTGTAGTGAAAAATTATTTTAAATTAAATTGAAATATAGTACAGGGTGAGACTCGTATTTAAGACAATAATCAACTGTAAGCGACACTCATTCGTTGATTCATTGGCGTTTTTATTTTTTTTCACGGCTTTATTTTTGGAATAAAAAAAAACTAAAAAAAAATCTACCCTACGTAACTCGACGAGATCTATCGGAAAAACGACATTTCGAACCTCGGAAAAGTTTCCTTCCGGGTAAAAAACCGGTTTTTCCATTTTTTTGGGGGGGTGTTTCTCGGAAATTAGTTCGAATTAACAATAAAAGTGGAATAAATAAATAATTTAATTTCGCAGCATTACAAAACCAAGATCCCGAATGGTACAACGCTCTGACGACGAATCTGACCGAGAACCAATTGAAAACGTTAAACGAAGTGTGCGTATTGGCCGAACAAAGGGCGGCGGCGAGAGAGAGCAAAAGGATCGAACAACAAGGAGGTGATCATTCGTTCTTTCTCTTATATCATTTTCTTCATTATTATTATTATTATTATTATTATTATTATTAATATTTTATATGCTGTTGTGTTGTCTGTTGTGTTGAGAGAGAGAGATTGTACAAAAGAGAAAAAGAGAGAGATAATACGAGGGAGAGAAAGAGAGACAGAGATAGTGCGAGAGAGATAGTGCGTGAGAGAAATAGAGAGAGAGTTAGTACGAGATAGTTATAGTGCGAGAGAGATAGTTCGAGGGAGAGAAGAAGAGAGAGAAAATGCGCAGCAGAGAAAAAGAGAGAGATAGTGCGAGAGATAAAAAGAGAGATAATACGAGGGAGAGAAAGAGAGAGATAGTACAAAAGGGAAAAAGAGAGAGTGCGAGGGAGAAAGAGAGAGAGAGAGAGAGGGAGAAAGAGAGAGAGGGAGAAAGAGAGAGAGAGAGAGAGAAGGAGAAAGAGAGAGAGAGGGAGAAAGAGAGAAATAGTGCGAGAGAGAGAGAAAGAGAGAGATAATACGAGGGAGAGAAAGAGAGAGATAATACAAAAGAGAGAGATAGTGCGTGAGAGAAATAGAGAGAGAGTTAGTACGAGATAGTTATAGTGCGAGAGAGATAGTTCGAGGGAGAGAAGAAGAGAGAGAAAATGCGCAGCAGAGAAAAAGAGAGAGATAGTGCGAGAGATAAAAAGAGAGATAATACGAGGGAGAGAAAGAGAGAGATAGTACAAAAGGGAAAAAGAGAGAGAGTGCGAGGGAGAAAGAGAGAGAGAGAGAGTGCGAGGGAGAAAGAGAGAGTGCGAGGGAGAAAGAGAGAGAGTGCGAGGGAGAAAGAGAGAGAGAGTGCGAGGGAGAAAGAGAGAGAGAGAGAGAGAGAGGGAGAAAGAGAGAGTGCGAGGGAAAAAGAGAGAGAAGGAGAAAGAGAGAGAGAGGGAGGGAGGGAGGGAGAGAGAGAGAGAGAGAGAGAGAGAGAGAGAGAGAGAGAGGGAGAAAGAGAGAGAGAGGGAGAAAGAGAGAGAGAGGGAGAAAGAGAGAGAGAGAGAAGGAGAAAGAGAGAGAGAGAGAGAGAAGGAGAAAGAGAGAGAGAGGGGGAGAGAGAGAGAGAGAGAGGGGGAGAAAGAGAGAGCAGAGAACAGAGAGATAGTACGAGAGAGTGAAAGAGAGGGATGGTCAAGAAAGACGGAGAGAGAGAGCGAACAATTTTAAATGATTTAGAAGCGTTCTAAATTGATTCTAGACAGTTCTAAATAATTCTAGACCGTTCTATATCAATATGGAGCGTTTTAAAAAAATTAAATGGTTCTACCCCGGATTTAATGCTTCTGGAACGTTCCAAATTGTTCTAGAATGTTCTATACGATTCTAGATAATTCTAAACGATTCTGGAGTGTTCTAAATGATTCGGAAGAGTTCTAAATGGTTTTAGACAGTCCTAGCGATTCTGGAGCGTTCTAAATGGTTCTAGATTGTTCTGGACAGTTCTAAATGGTTTTAGACAGTTCCAAATGATTCTGGAACGTTCTAAACGATTTTTGAGCGTTATAAATGCTTCTGAAGGGTTCTAGATTGTTCTAGAGACTGTTCAAAATGGTTCTAGTTAGTTCTAAATAATTCTGGAACGTTCTAAATGACAGTAAAGCTTTATAAATGGTTCTGAAGCCTTCTAAATGGTTTTAGACAGTTCCAAATGGTTCTGGAACGTTCTAAACGATTTTTGAGCGTTATAAATGCTTCTGAAGGGTTCTAGATTGTTCTAGAGACTGTTCAAAATGGTTCTAGTTAGTTCTAAATAATTCTGGAACGTTCTAAATGACAGTAAAGCTTTATAAATGGTTCTGAAGCCTTCTAAATGGTTTTAGACAGTTCCAAATGGTTCTGGAACGTTCTAAACGATTTTTGAGCGTTATAAATGCTTCTGAAGGGTTCTAGATTGTTCTAGAGACTGTTCAAAATGGTTCTAGTTAGTTCTAAATAATTCTGGAACGTTCTAAATGACAGTAAAGCTTTATAAATGGTTCTGAAGCCTTCTAAATGGTTTTAGACAGTTCCAAATGGTTCTGGAACGTTCTAAACGATTTTTGAGCGTTATAAATGCTTCTGAAGGGTTCTAGATTGTTCTAGAGACTGTTCAAAACGGTTCTAGATAGTTCTAAATAATTTTGGAACGTTCTAAATGACAGTAAAGCTTTATAAATGGTTCTGAAGCCTTCTAAATGGTTTTAGACAGTTCCAAATAGTTCTGGAACGTTCTAAACGATTTTTGAGCGTTATAAATGCTTCTGAAGGGTTCTAGATTGTTCTAGAGACTGTTCAAAACGGTTCTAGATAGTTCTAAATAATTTTGGAACGTTCTAAATGACAGTAAAGCTTTATAAATGGTTCTGAAGCCTTCTAAATGGTTTTAGACAGTTCCAAATGGTTCTGTATGGTTCTTAATTGTTCTAGACAGTTCTAAACGATTCTAGCAAGTTCTAAATTATACAGGATGTTAATATATTGCACGTGTTTGTTCACGCTCTTACCTTTATTTAGTGGCATTTGCGTTGTTAATTTCGTGCTAGATAAAAAAATTTATTCCTTATTTGCAACCCGTCCCTACGAAATACTAGGGGTGTTACTAATCGGAATGTACATTTTTTAAACCTTACGACTACGAGATAACTCGTAGTCAATTCGCGTTCCGGTCCGGGACGCCGGGCTACGAGTTATCTCGTATTAATATAATGGCGATTCAAATGAGTTCTGCTTCTCAGACAGGAATTTTGAAAATTGCCGTGGCAGTCGACGTGTTTAATCGTAATTTAAGAATGCAGGATGGACAGAATAAGTTCGTAAAATTCCATCAAGTTTTTTACATTTATTTACTTTTTATTAATTAGTTCACTCGATTCAGATTAAAAAATAACTACAGTTTATGCAAAACAAAGTTCGATGCGCGTTTTTTTTTTTCAAAATATTTCGGAAATTTGGATATTTTTCGAAATTATTCAAATTTGAAAATTGAAAAAGAATGTTTTTTTCTATAAAATGGTGAAAATTTCGTTTTTCTATCTTGAATGGTTTTCGAGATAATTGGAGTTTTTTGTGTTATTAAAAAAAAGTTGTGTAATTTTTTTGAAAAAACTTTGAAATATTTCGGAAATTTGAGGATTTTTCGATATTATTTAAATTACAAAATTGTAAAAGAATATTTTTTCTCTAAAATGGTGAAAATTTCGTTTTTCTATCTTGAATGGTTTTCGAGATAATTGGGGTTGTTTGTGTTGTTATTAAGGAAAAGTTTTGTAATTTTTTTGAAAAAAACCTCGAAATATTTTGGAAATTTAAGGATTTCTCGAAATTATTTAAATTACAAAATTGTAAAAGAATGTTTTTTCCTATAAAACGGTGAAAATTTCGTTTTTCTATCTTGAACAGTTTTCGAGATAATTGGGATTTTTGTGGAGTTTTTAAAGAAAAGTTTTGTTTAATTTTTTCGAAAAAACTCAAAATATTATGACTATATGACGACAATTATGACGTGTGTCGAACTTTATTTTGCACAAACCATAGAACGATATATTTCATAAAGCAATGTTGCCAATTGTAGAGAAACTTCATAAGATTTTTTCAAAATCTTACTCAATCTTCCATAACGATAGATATCACAAAGCAGCGTTGCCATTTGTAGCGAAATTTCACCAGATCTTCCAAAATTGACTATTCAACAAGAATGGTCTTTTACTTATTAACCTATCCTTACATTTATACCAATAATTTAATAATAATTTTAATAATAATAATAATAATAATAATAATTTTTTTTTCTCTTATTTCTAGGTTACACATTCACGCAACACGCGGTGCCTACGTCATTCAAATTCGGCGATGGAAATTCATGAATAACTCAAAAAAAAAGAAGAAAATAAAATAAAAAAGAAATGTTGTTGTGTAATCAATCCCGAATGTGACTGAATGTAAAATTGACTCTAATTTTGACCAGTAAAGTAGTTATTTGTACAGTTTGATTATAAAAAAAGATATTTTTCATTTTTTTTTTATTATTATTAATTAAGTGCCTTTTTCGATTAGACGTTAATAAGTGTGTGATAAGATAACGGAGAGACGCTCTAAAAAGCCTCTAATAGCTCATCCAAAAAAAAAAATAAAATACACTTTTTTGTTCTCGTTTTTCTTGTTTTTTTTTTTTGTTTTTTTTCTCTTTTTCCTGTACATAGAAATTGTTTTCGTATGATACGGGGTGTCCCAATGGACAGTAGAAAAGTTTCGGTAAAACTAAACCTAAATCTTTTTCGATTCTAGACAGTTCTAAATGATTCTATACAGTTCAAAATGATTCTGGATCGTTCTAAATTATTCTGGGACGTTCTAAATGATTCTAGACAGTTCTAAGTGAATCTGAACAGTTCTAAATGGTTGTAGACAGTTCTAAATGATTCTAGACAGTTCTAAATGATTCTAGACAGTTCTAAATGGTTGTAGACAGTTCTAAATGATTCTAGACAGTTCTAAATGGTTGTAGACAGTTCTAAATGATTCTAGACAGTTCTAAATGGTTGTAGACAGTTCTAAATGATTCTGGAACGTTTTAATTGATTTTTGATAGTTTTAAATGATTCTAGACAGTTTTAACGATGATTTCTAGACCGTTCTAAACGATTCTGGGCAGTTTTTAATCGATTCTGGAGCCGTTTTAAACGATTGGTAACCCGTAAATGGGCTACTTTTCATTGGGACATCCTGTATTCTCCAAGGCCACCTTTAAAATATTGTACGATCGATTGTAGATTTGTTTATTTCGTCCGGTTTTATTATTTATCTTCTTTTTCTTTTTATACAAATTAAAAGAAGTTTCGTTTATAAATTATTTAATTATTGCATTTTAATAAACGTCTTGCTTTCGCAATTATTTTTTACTCGACGCCATTTTGTGAAGAAGAAGGATTACGACAAAATGGCGGATAAATTGGAGAATCTGTAAAGAGCTCCCCCGAAGATCCTGCGAGATAATCTTATCTTTATCATCTTATCTTAAATTAACTTTTACACGACGGGACGCCATTTTGTTAAGAAGAACGATAACGACAAAATGGCGGATCAATTTGAAAATCTCTAAGGAGCCCCCCCAACGATCCTTCTAAAGAACCTTATCTTAATTATCTTATCTTTATTATATTATCTTCAATTATCTTTTACACGACGTGACGCCATTTTGCGAAGAAAAAGGATAACGACAAAATGGCGGATGAATTGGAGAATCTGTAAAGAGCACCCACCGGGAGATCCTGCGAGTGAACCTTATCTTAATTATCTTATCGTTATTATCTCATTTTAATTTATCTTTTACATGACGTGACGCCATTTTATTAAGAAGAAGGATAACAAGAAAATGGCGGATCAATTTGAAAATCTATAAACCACCGGTTGCTCCTTAAAGGACACCGATCGGATGGGATTCCCAATTAGGGAAATCCTTCGTGAGAACCTTCTCAGGCTTCTTCTGAAGCTGTTCGTCCTGCGCAAATTCGTTTCTCTCAAAAGGCTCTCGAAAGAGGCTCTTTCGATTAGATTGAGCGTCGTTTCGGGCACCGTCGCGACGTCGACGTCGGGATTTTCTCGAAGCCATTTCGTCAATTTTCTCAACACTTCGATTTGTTCTTCCCCGTTTATCTGAAATAGTTAAACGTTTGGCAACGTTGTAAATTCATTCCTAGTTATGTAAAACACGTGGCAACGTTGCAACTTATGGCAAAATGCACATAGTTAGTTCTAGAATAGTTTGAAATGATTCTAAATAGTTCTAAAATCGTCCTGAATAGTTTCAAAATTCACTTGGTTAGTTCTAAAATGGTTCGAAATGATTCTAGATAGTTATAAATAGTATTAAAATCTTCCTGAATAGTTTCAAAATGCACTTAGTTAGTTCTAGAATGGTTCGAAATGATTCTAGATAGTTCTAAATAGTTCTAAAATCGTCCTGAATAGTTTCAAAATGCACTTAGTTAGTTCTAGAATGGTTCGAAATGATTATAGATAGTTCTAAATAGTTCTAAAATCGTCCTGAATAGTTTCAAAATGCACTTAGTTTTAAAATGATTCGAAATGATTCTAGATAGTTCTAAATAGTTTTAAAATAGTCGTAAATAGTTTCAAAGCCACCTCTTTAGATCTAAACGTAGAAATCAACGTAGACTTGACAACGTCGCATTATCGCGATGTTGCCATCAATATTGACTTACTTTCAAAAGGGCTTGTCGAATTTTGTATTCATTTTTAAAAGAGAGAATCTCCGATGGAACTTTTTTGTTACACAACCAAATGTATTTTTGACTGGAACATTCCGATCGGGTGATTTTGATCCGTTGGATTTGCATCAGAATTTCCACCTGAAATATTTTTACAGACGAAGAAAATGTAAATAATAATATTTACGACGATTCGCGATTAACATTACTACGAGATAACTCGTAGCGTGGCGTCCCGGGCCGGTGAGCGATGGCAAAAAACATGGAAAAAATTTAAAAAGATGGAAAAATTGAAAAAACATGGGAAAATAGAGAAAAAAAAGGAAAAAGTGGAAAAACATGGAAGAAGTGAGAAAAAAAAACATGGAAAAGGTGGCAAACATGGCAAACATGGCAAAAAGTAGAAAAACAGAAAAAATGTAAAAATGAAAAATGTGAATAAATATGGATAAATATGAAAAATGCGTCAATATCAAAACTTGGAAAAAGTGGAGAATAAATGGAAAAAATGTCTAAAAGTGGAAATAACATGGAAAAAGTGAAAAAACATGCAAAAAAAAGGAGCATATGGAAAGAAGAGAAACAACGTGCAAAACATGCAAAAGCGTGAAGAAAGTGGAAAAAACATGAAAAAAGTGAAAAAAAAGAAGAAAAACAGGCAAAAATATGGAATACATGGGAGAAACATGAAAAAAGTGGAAAACAGAAAAAATGTAAAAAAGTGGAACACATGGAATAAATGGAAAAAATATGGAAAAAGTGGAAAAGCATTTTAAAAGTGGAAATGATGGAATAAATGAAACAATATGCAGAAAGTAGAAAACATTAAATGAAATATGGAATGAATGGATATAAATGGAAAACATAAGAAAAAATACATACAAGAAAACATAAGGAAAAACATTGCAAAAAATGAACCATATTTAAAAAGTGACAAAATATGGAAGAAGTGTAAAAACAGAAAAACTGGCAAAAGTGCAAAATACGGAAAGAAACATAGAAAAATCAATTATAACGTATTACTACGAGTTATCTCGTAGCGCGGCGTCCCGGACCGGAACGCGTATTAACTACGAGTTATCTCGTAGTCGAAAGGGTTAAATTCCGAATCTTACCTGTTCGATGAATTGGGATATCATTTTCTCCATATCGAGAACTGAAAACCGACTGAACTGTTTTATTTAATTAATTAATTCATTCGTTAAATAAGGGAAATCTAATTAGAGGTTGATAAGGCGGTAGGAAAATTTAATTAATCAATTATTTTATTAATATTTTTATCATTATCGGTTATCAGATGATTCGTTATTTATTTATTAGTAGCCCTGAATGATTTAATAGTAAAAGGGCCTTATCGAAATGTTTTTTTTTTTGTTTTAATTTTTTGCCTTCTACGAGGGTAGGATAAAAAATTCTCTATCTGAATCCTTTAGAACTGTCTAGAACGATTTAGAACACTACAAAATTATTCAGAACTATCCGGAATCATTTCAGAACTGACTGAATCGGCCCAGAATGATTTGTGTGGTTAAAATGCCGATGCATTGTTGCCAAATCGTTAGTCTCAAAATTCTGATCTTTGTAGTTTTGACAGGTTTTGACTATAATTTGTTATATTTTTGGGACTTTCCCAATGATTTTTTTGTCTTGCCTTGGAGCGTTCTAAATGATTCTGGCAAGTTCTAAATCATTTTGAGGCGTTTTAGTCAGTTCTAAACGAGTTTGGAACGTTCTAAATGACTATATGGAGCGTTATAAATGGTTCTAGTCAGTTGTAAATGATTCTGGAGCGTTCAACTGAGTTCTGAATGGTTCTGGACAGTTCTAAATCACTCTAGAGCGTTCTACTCCGTTCTAAATGATGATGGAGCGTCCGAAATTCTTCCAGACAGTTCTCGATGATTTTGCAGCGTTTTAAAACGAGTCTGGAAAGTTCTAAATGATGATGGGGCGTTCTAAATTGTTTTAGACAGTTCTCCATGATTCTGGAGGATTCTTAATGAGTCAGGAGAGTTCTAAATGAATATGATGCGCTCTAAATGGTTGTAGATAGTTCTAAATGTTTCTAGACAGTTCTGAATAATTTAAATTAGTCTGGAGAGTTCTAAATGATTCTGGAGCATTCTAAATAATTCTGGAGCGTTCTAAATGGTTCTAATCAGTTCTAAATAATTGATATTAGTACCTACATATTTATTTAGAATTTAATTAAATTAATAAAAACACATTTCGATCCATCAAATATAATTTAATCTCTATCACCAACCAACCAACAACAACCTTTTATTATAAAAAAAATATATACTCCTCAAAAATACCCACAATATTTATATTATAGTATAAATACACTCCTGGACAAAATTAACGCAACATCAAAAATTTGCCACATTTTTTATGCTATTTTTTTGTTTGAATTTATGAACCGATTTGGATGATTTTTTTTTTTTAATTATAAGTTGGTTCTTTGACAATGTCATCTTTTGAATAATACAGACTATTAAAACATGTTACGCTATAAAACGGCGTATCTCCTTTAATAACATAGATAATGAAGTAAACCAAAAAAGAAAATGTTGAAAAAATATTAATCTACCGTCTAATGTCAACTGCTATATGTCTCGTTTGCTAGTATACTCCACATGGTGACACGAATTTTCGAAGAAAAAAAACATTACATTTTTATTACACCCGGTATAATCGAAAAGGAACATTTTATCATAAACAGCAAAAAATGATGACATTGTCAAGGAACCAACCTATAATACAAAAAAAAATCATCCAAATCGGATCATAAATTCAAACAAAAAATAGCATCAAAAATGTGTCAAATTTATGATGTTGCGTTAATTTTGTCCAGTAGTTTATATCACAGTAAAATAATAATAATAATAATAAATATAATTTAACAATAAATAAAAAAAGAAACTCGTTTATTTTTTTCTTGTATACTCCTGGATATTTTCATCATCATCTTTTTCCGGATTTTCCTCACGTACTTTTTTATCGCCATCTTTTCCTTTAACATCGGTACCACCAAAACCAGTACCACCAGAACCAGTACCACCAGAACCAGTACCACCAGAACCAGTACTACCAGTACCACTAGTACCAGTACCACCAGTACCAATACCACCAGAACCAGTACCACCAGTACCACCAGTACCACCAGAACCAGCACCAATACCACCAGAAC